TAATATAAGAATTTCCTGAAATCCCCTGGTTTGAAACCAGGCAATTAGTGTGGTTGTAAATTAATATAATAAATATAATTTAGGAATTTAACTTACTTGATGTTGAGCTGGTGATGTTGGATGCGGTGTAACAGGGGCTGAGTGAGGTGTGTGCGGTTGAGGCGGCGTATTCGGGGCGGGGAAGCGAAGGCCGCCTAGTTGTAAACACAATATGAAAATGTACAACGCAAACATTTGTAGTGTTCTATTTTTTTAATCTTTATTTATTTAGAAACGTTTTAGAACTTTTTAAATGCCAGTTTCATCGTAACCTATAGCTCCCATGTCTTCGCGGCGTTGCTGAAGAGCCGATCCAACAAATTATTTTTGCACGTTTCGCATGGGATTGTTGTAGGAGCTATAAAATGTATACTGACACATTTTATAGCTCCTATAAAAATCTGCAGGTTTCTGATCAACGCAGCCCTATGTTGCTCATACCGGACATATTCTAGTAACAAATGATATGCATCTTCCACTATTCCACATAATTCGCAATTTGGATGTAGTGTTTTATGAAGTTACCATTTCAAATGTTAATAGACGGATTAACTGTTTCATCACTTCACGTGAAAAAACGTGAAAATTATATGCAAATTTCCAAAAGTTGTTGAGCAATTGTTGATTGTATTAAGACCTGAATAAATGTAATAACAAATAAAAAAATACTCATTACAGCGAATCGCTTTGGACGGATCAACCCACAGCGGTTTTTAGAGCCGTAGCTGCATGTAGAATAAACATGTATAATAGTCTTAAGTTTATTAATAAAAAAAAATTAAACAGAAATGCAGACAGAGTATTATTTCGGTCCGACACAAACCAGGTGGCATAGGCGACATCGGTGATGGTGGATTATCATCTTCTGCCAACAATTTTGCGCTAATACTGTCCTCCACATAGCGCGACAGGAAAGCCTTGAGGCCTTGTGCGGGCGCGAATTCGTCCACTACGGAACTGCGATCGAACTTCGAGTATGAACCGTCGCGAATGGTCACCACACCGCCGCCGCGGATGCCGATCTCTAGGGAGTATGCTCCAGCGTATATTATACGGATCTGTAAGCAAAGTACCGTTACAATAACAGTCAGTTTTTTTTTGTTTTCGGGTATATATTGAGTGATGGTAATTGGCTTACATATAAGAACTGTGCCTTACCAAATGTTGTCTTTTTATCTTACTTTTTTATGTGTGATCTGTTGGGGTTCCGAATAAATAAAGTCAGTCGTTTTTTATAATTATTAATACAAAGATCGAACACTCAGAAAAAATTCCTTCGATCCGGCCTCTCGGTCGCTTTTTTTAAATAATTTTTCAATAAAACCAAAATAAAAAATTGGAGTTAAAAGGTTATATTTTGTGAATTTAAAATTAAATTTATTTAGTTACGTACTACAATCTTTTTGGAAATAGAGCAGGGGCTTGCTCTGTGGCTGGCAGTGCAAAAATAATCATTCCTCTTGTCAATAGAAAACACGAAAACATAACACCGCAATTTTTAATTAAATTAAATGTAAACAGCTTTTACCACCCGCATTGTGAAGTAATCATCAGAGCTGCGCGGCTAATATCATCAGATGAGTGGATCTCAACTGTTCCAATAGTAATCATACATATACACGCATATTTATACGCCCTACCACTATTAGACTTGTATATCCAAATTACGCCCACGTACCTTAAATTTCCCCACATCCAGCAGATATCTTATGTGAATTTAGTCTGCTATTGTGGTTTAAATCTTTATTTTGTTTTGAATTTCAATGTTACATTAACGTCTAAAAAAAGATCATGGTAGCCCAATGGTTTGACCTACCGCCTCTAAGGGTTTGACCTCTGAGTTTTTCGGAATTTATGTGCGAAATTTGGAATTTACTATGACCTTTTCAGTAAAGGAAACCATCTTGATGAAACCTGCACGTTGAAGAAGATTCACAACTTTCGGAAACCCAACCCGCATTGGGCCAGCTATCCTATGGCCTAAAACCCCGCCTGAGAGGAGATCAGTGCCTAACAGTGGGACTTACAAAATGGGTTGAAGATTAACCTCGAACTTCTTTAATTTTGCCGTTTAAATTTTGCGTATAATATGTCATTCGTCCTACCTTGCGCCAGGAATGTGCCAGCAGCGTAAAAGTGGGCGTAGGCATCTGAGTGCGCACATGATGCAATCCGAGCTGCGGCAGAGTGGGCAGCCGCGATAGCGCAAGCAGCGGCGCGTACGTCTCGCGCAAGACTACGCCGAGGGACATAAGATCCTTGTGCCTGAATAAATAACAAGTTAGATCAGTGTTTGCAAAACATACTGGTATGGTTTATGATGGAATAACGGCTAATAAACGCACAGGAGCTGTATCAGCCCGAGTGTTGTGTGTAGGATAGCATTTGCCCAAATACAACAAAGTAGTGCTGTGAGGTCCAAAAATGCATAATTTGATTAACAATAAGTTGTCGGTGTATAATTAGGTATTTAAATAGGTACGAAGTTAAACTTAAAATAACAAATTGATTACTATGATTATCAAAACCATCAACAATCTGAAAAATTGTTAAACTAAATAAATTTATGCATATCATTCAATTCGTCTTAAGAAATACTGTTTATTATTATTATACTTAAACAATGATCCCATAACCAGAACAAATCTCTGGCAGCCTTCCAAAGATCGATCACAAAACACAATAATTGGGTATGGGGAGACCTTTGCGCTAATTACCTTTCATTGCTTGGCAAACCAATGTAACTTATTAAGAATTAATACAGTAGGCAAGTTATAAGTCGGTGCAAGAAAAGGTATAAGTTAAATTAATTACTAAAAACCGGTAAAAACAATGCAATAAAGAGGGTAACGAACAGAACACTTACCAATTGATATACTGATCAAGATGGTGCAGCGTAGCGTGATGCGCATTAGCAGACGGTTGGTGCGCAGGAGTGGCTACCGTGTATCGCTGAGTGCTTGCGTTCCACTGCAGGACGGCAGTCGCGCGCTGTCCCGGCCCGAAGCCGAGGACTAACGATCGATACGTATACGACCTTATGCATACTCCTTGCCAGAGCATTTCACGTTCTGTAACAAATAACATAATTACGTTATTATTAGTACCTGAGTGCAAATTATAAGTACCACAAATTGATTCTCATTACTTTGTCCTTGAACCATTTGGAGACACAAAATTCATGAACTACTTATTTTTGAGTAAAAAATTACCTTGAACAGGTCTCAGCGTGAAGTTGTGTAATAGCGTGTGCAGATGCACAATCGCGGCCCAGTCAGCGAGGAATGCGTCCGCAGTGCGACCCGCATCTGTTCCCAGTTCGTATTGAAGGTACACACACCTTCTTTCACCTGTAAGTATAGAGAGAATGAAATCACTTTCGTCCTGTACTATTAAAAATTGTGCACAAACTATACAGAACCGAAATCTTCTCAGCAGCTTACGAATGTTATAAAGATAAAGATAAATTTATTTCGATTAAATTATAATCTAATACAATACAAGTAAAACAAATGTAAATAAAGCTATTTATAGTATTCAAATAAGAATTAAGAAGGGAATCTAAATTATACTTTCTTCAGAGTAAAGATATACATTTTAATATCATCTAATGTGTAATTGCGATGCCTAAACTAAGTAAATGTATACCTGCATTTTAGGCATCTTTTTGGGCAAATTTCTATATATTACAGCTTAAAATTATCTATATTTAACAATAAAATAATTAGTAGTTATAAATCAATGGTTATCTATATAAAAATAATTATGAAACAACTTGCAGCAAGTCCTCTGTATCATAGTAAGTTTTACTCTTAAGCAGAGAACAAATAAGTAATGAGAACGGACACTCTCCGCCTCTCCCTAGCTTTAGATACCACACCACGCTCCGCACATTGACGGTCACATTAACTGAACGAGAACAAGGCTGTCGGCGAGCCGTTTTCGCGCTAAGAAGGCTTTGATATTTGAATATAGTTTTCATTTATTCAATACGAAATTTGTACGTTAATATATAACATCATTTTAAGTTACTATTTATAATGGTCGTGAATTGTGCTGTGTACGGCTGTTTATAATCATCTAAACGGGATAAAGAGATGAGTTTCTTTCGTTTTTTGAAAGATGGAACGTAGTAAGTAAATAAACTTATGTCTGAGACTCATTCAGTTATTGTTTTCTTTAGTGCAAAGTAATATATAATACAGATTTATTGTATCAATATAATAAGACGCCATAACTTCGTGAGCTAGACAAGGGTTCTCGAATTTTCAATTTTTATTGCCGATAAATATTACGTAGTGAATATACCTAATTATTAACTAGGTATTGATAAAGTTGGACACGCAATTTCAAATACTTTGGTTACCTTTTTTAAAAAGGTACCTGTCCAAAGTGCTCTTAATATATTTTTTAAATAAATATTCAATATTATTCTAGTTAGTGAATTAATGAAAAATATAATATTATATCAATATAAATACGTAATGAACATGTATAAATTATTAGGATTTTATAATAGAATTATAGATAACAGAAACGCGTTAGAATTTTCGCTATGTTGCCGCTCTGACCACGTAACGTAATAGTACGAGCAAGTGATGGGTAACCCTGCCACTTCACGCACACATTTGCGCGTGTGCAATCGCGCCTTGCTTGTATGTAGTAGTAGTAGGTAAATAATTTTAGACCGTTGTATGGAGTGTCCGGGGTGTGTTTTAAGCCACAATTTGACGGTCGTTGTACATTCTATTTTATTTACGGCGAAATAATGCAAATTAGAATTTGATTTCAAGTAAAGGTACGTACCAAGGAAGCAAAGAATCGATGCGAGTGTGCTGTGCAGAGTCATCTGTGGTTGATTAAAGTAACGGAATCAAATGGAGTAATTGAGAGCTTTTTCAAAATTATTTGTGGAATAAACAGCTGCCGAACCGAGAGGACATCGCACTCGTTTAGGAGTTTGTGGGTTGGATAAGAAGAACAGCTCTCTGCGCTCTTTCCAGGTATATCATGGTGGTCTTATGTACACCGCCCCAGCATGTAATGCAGTAAAGTAGCAATGATTGACAGAGGGCTAAATGCGCTGATTTGAGAAGGGCGCTGCTAGCTGCATATCTTAAATTTTTAACTTTTTTCTTCACGGTGGTCACGAGAGGTACCACCACTTTGAAGGCTCATATTTCTTCTAAAGTGACATCTATTGGTTTTGTGTTTTAATTCTACGACTAAACCAACAACAAATCACCTATATGGTGACTAATAGCCCTGGCGCCACGTTTAGATAATGGCGAGAAGGACGTAATCCGGACGGGTTTTTGAATATATTTTATCAGAACATATTAATATCGGTTATGGTAATGATAGCAATGCAGACCATCAATGAGGATCAAAAAAAAACCCAGCGAAATTTCTCTCCGCGAAAATTTTTGTAGAGATAACTCTTGTCGAAGAATTTGGCCTGATGATGATGTTCCCTAAGCCAGCTTTACAACCACCACTACTATCATCAGCTCCACCTGCCTCTCTAGCACTCCAAAATTGAAAAAAACTTACACCATTTTATAATCAGAAGAATACGTCATTTCATTACAGACTATGTACCTGCACAAATATGCTTAGCTGCTCATAAAGAACGGACTCCTCTAAAGGTATTTCAATTGTTCTGGACTGAAGAAATCATTGAGCATATAATATTCGATACCAATCTTTATGCAGAACTGAAAGAAGGTCCTTACATATGTCTTACTAATGAGGAAATGACAGATCAAAAAGAGCTTAAGTTACAGATACTACCTCTTCTCCAAGCTCTGCAGCAGATGCAGACACAAAAAAAGACCAGTTAGGTCTATTTGGAGCTGCAAAATATGCAGTCTCTCATTGCTATCGTGAGAGGAAATCATGTTTCGAGGACAACCATAAAAATAAAGTTTCAAAACAGTTTACTCCTACGAAGCTCTGAACTCATGTCTTTTGGCATAAATTCAGTGAATAAAACAAGTTCATTATTGAACATAAAGACAATTTTTTAAATTAATTTTTGTCATTTTTTTAATAGTGTTTACTAACAGTGACCACCTCTTACATAATACCCCAGCATGCGAATTACAAAAAAAACGTACAATACTTATAATAAAAAAAATAATAAAAATATCAGACAATAAAAATCGGTGCCGCAGAGTTAAAAACATATATAAATTTTCGAACTCTAGAAGTAAGCGCTACAATATGGTGTTTGAAATTAAGATGTTTGTCAATTATAACACCTAAATATTTAATGTTGTTTGCGCTCTCCAGTGTTGGACAGGCACAGAGGCTTAAATGAGTTCGAGGGTTTGTACAATGGTGAGCTACTATTGAAAAAGCATTCTTAGGAGGTTGTGAGGAGATATTGTATGAGAAAGTCGTATATTTAGTTTTGCTAGTATTCAGTGTAAGGGCATTCGCTCTGAGCCACTTGGTTACTGAGTTAAAACCAAATTGAGCCTGTGAAAATGTTTCATTCCAACTTAAGACGCTGAATAATAAAACTGTATCATCGGCGTAAGACATGATCTTGCCACCAGAGAGGGGAAGAGCGCATAGTTGATTAATATAGACAAGGAATTGTCTATATTAATTCCGTCAAAGGATGAATGAAGAATGCCGTCAAGGAAGTCAAGGATTGGTCCTAATATGCTTCCTTCAGGAACACCATATTCAATCGGTAATTCGTCACTCGTTATTTTGTCCATCGTCACGCGCTGTTTTCCGCCAGAAAGATAGTCTTATAGATAGTTTGAGTTGCATTACTCTAATTCCAAGTATTTCTAACTTGTTTAAAAGTATTGGAATATTTACAGTGTCAAAGGCTTTTCCGAAGTCAAGGAAGATAGCCAAACATTTATTCTTCGAGTCCAAATTTCTTACAATGTAATCAGTCAGTTCATCAATGGCGTCGTTCGTCGATAGCCCTGTTCTGAACCGAAATTGAGACGTCGACAGAAGTTTCTTAGTTTCTCAATAATTAACAAGCATTTTATAGATTATTATTTCAAGTAGCTTAGAAATATTGCTCTTGTCGCCGCTTTTGTGAATAGGTTTTATAAGGGCTGTTTTCAGTACTTTAGGAAATGTTCCTGTTAATAAACAGAGATTGAAAATGTAGATCACGGGTGGAATCAAACAATTTTTATGTTGTATAATGAAAGAACAGGGAATTTTGTCAATTCCTGTCGCACAGTAATTTCTTAGCCATAACATAATAATGTTTTCAATTTCAGGGGGTCTACTCTCGATCTCCGTCCGACATCCGTCCGAAACAATTATTGTCAAATAAGTAATATTCGACAAAATTAAAAAACAAGTATCCAGTATGAAGCTTCATTCGCATCACGCGTCTTTTCATTTAGTCAAGTATTGTTTATTTGGCAGTAATTGTTTCGGACGGATGTCGGACGGAGATCGAAAGTAGACCCCCAGTTTCGTCAGTGTTGATCAAGGCAAATGAGTGCAATTATGAGACGTGAGACGGAGAGACGTTGATTTTCGACTTTTCAGCTAGAAGTTTTCCTACACTAGTGAAGAATGAATTTGCTGAGTTAACAGTTTAAACTGCATGTTCTGTGTTTACAATTAGTGCTAGGTTGACGATTTGGAGTTAGTCATGTTCATAATATTTTTGATGACTTACCACAATCTCTTTTTATCGTGACCTGCATTAATTAATTGTGTCTTTTCGTATTGACTTTTTAATTTCTTTAATAGAATGTTACAGAAATTTCTACATCTATACTAACTAGTTTTAAATATTGGATTGTTCGGAAACTTAAGAACTTTTTTATGAAGTTTATCTCGATTTTTAATGCAGCGTGGGGTGACATGTGGGCTCTGTGTCCCGGCAGAACTTTGCAGAGTGTCCATATTGTTGGCATTTGTAACAACTAGTTATGCGTGTGTAATTTCTGACCGCACACGAGGTCCAATTAATGTATATACGCTGCTGTTCTTCGAGCGTCCTGCGAATGCGTGCTGTCAGTTCTAAAATATAGTTACAAGTCGCCTCATCCTTTTTGTCTGATTTGTGGCGAAATTTAATTTCGCTTTCCAAGGAATTTAGGCTGGGATGTTTTTCCGATAAATTTTGTTCATACAGGCAGTGTAATAATTCTTTATTAGACATGCTACGGAACGCCCAATACTACCTTTCACCGCTTTTTAGTCGCATCTTCTACTTTCAGTACTGATTTTATGATGAGCTTTAGTATGTCATCCCTACTTTCAGTGCTGATGATAACTTCTCCACATTTAGTTTTACGCATACCGCTGACATGCAGTTTCATTTCTTCGGGCCTTATTAATTTCTTGACAGTTTTTTTAGTATCTTCGCTTGAAGTATCTTTACTGAGCGGGCAAATAGCAACACTGCTCGTATTTGATCGCCATACTAAAGGCAGACCTCCTTTCATAACTATATCAGCAAAATATTTGTTTGGTGGTGATGGTCTAGAGACCGATTGCATGCAAGTTTTCATGTCTTTTAATTGGGCATCAACGTTCACTTGTTCTTTCAAAGTGCTAATCAAAGAATTGGCCGAAATATATTTTTGCTTCAAGGACGGGTAATGCACTGCCAATTGAGAGACACCTCCAAGTACTGACCTGCTAATATTATGCCCTAGGGCATATCTTAAGGTGATGAGGGTTCATCACAAATTTTTAAATATTCCAATGTTTTTTTTTTTCAACGTAATCCTAAATAATCATCCTATTTATCGCAGTCACAAATCCAACAATGAACGTTAGTTAGTTAGTTAAAACGTAGTTTAGTAAAAAAAATAAGTATCGTAGAGTAATAGTTTAAAAAAATATATGTCAGCTAACTTTGACTCCTCATGTTTAAAAAAACTGCTACACTCCTCTGGGCAAGTTCCTTGAAAAGATGGCCCATTTCGTCAAGAGTACACAATAGTACAATACAATACTTGCCACTTTTCATTTTCCAAAGATATTGTTGCTTATTTTTTTCCAAAAGTACCACACTTAAAAAAACTCAACTATGATAACAATAATTATTTTGTGTGCTCATAGATCGGATTTGCTATTGTGTGAAATTCCCAGATATGATAGAGCGAAATGGATAGTAACTTTGTTCGACATGAATTACAGTGACAAAGATTAATTGCCACTTTGATTCAAAAATACTGTGGCGCGAATGTTAATTTCAGGTTCTTAGGTTTTCGCGATTGTTGCACATAGGAAATGACACTATTTATATTTTTAACCGACTTCAAAAAAAGGAGGAGGTTCTCAATACGATTATATTCTTATTTTCTTTTTGTATGTATGTCACGCGATGACTCGCGATTTATGAACCGATTCTGATGATTCTTTATTTGTTGGAAAGAGGGTGCCTCAGTATTGGCCCCATTTAAATTTGAAGAAAATATTCCACCTCTAAATGTGACAATCGTGGTGCTGGATGAATCTGGTTTCGCGCACTTTCCGGTAACCGATTTCAATAAAACTAGGCAAATAGATGTAATTCCACGATCTTTTTTGTTTTTTTTTTTCAAACAAACCTATGTTTCAGACTCGTTACAGGTCCTATGGTCACGGCTGACTGTCAGCTGAAAGTCCATGAGTCATGTAAGGCCATATAAAAGGCCCTAAACATAGGTTTGTCGTTTGTCCTAAAAATATGTAGTTTAATTTCTAAATGTTAATTACTTTAAAAAAGATGCTGATTACCTGCTACTTACGACTACATTTTGCTGTAGAGAATTAGAATATCTTTAGAATATCTTTTTCTACTGATCACTAGACGACGCAAGACCAATTTGTTTAAATGCAAGAATTTAAATCTATGCTTTTACATGTTTTTCATATACAGACGCAAAAAACTGGGTTATCATAAATTTGTATGGGATTTACCATTGTTCTTTACTATACATACAGGTTGGATTTGGTGTTGTACCGTTGTTACGGATTTATTTTGGTCTAGAACGTAAACAAACCTTGTTCCTTGGGGTTCGGCGTGCGTACAGGAGATCCGTGGAACACAATTTCAGCAGTCCACACACGAGCTTGGTTTTTAGTCGTCAGTCTGATAGTGGCGGCTAAAAGGCGCGCACGTATAGCGTTAGCTGCAGCTACACTAGCACCCTCTGGTTTTGGTAACGCCACTATACGCATGGCTAGGGCAGAACCACTCCATTCCGGTTGCACACCGCCGTGCGTAACGCCTCGTGCTGCCAACTGGTTGATAAAAAGAAGATTTTGAAAGACTGTTACGAATATCTTTATACGAAATATTACTTATATATTTAGGTTTAACGCAAACGTTTTTCTCTAACTAGTGCCGTATGTGAGTGACATGTTATGGCAGTGCAAAGCCATGAGCAAGGATGTTTTCAATCGACAAATTAGAGGCTTAGATGTTGTCGAAGTCCTCTAAGTACACATTTCAATATATACGATTGGGCCAAGCTAGGGAGTCGTTATAATTCCGTCTTGCTCAAGCCTAAAGCTAGCCTTGTTCCGGCAGCATAATATATAGCTTTCCGTTTATAATATGTCCAAAGAGAGATGAGTTGGGTGCGCTTTTTGATCGACCCAAACAACTGAAATATCGTACATAGTGCGTACCTACACTCGTAGGGACGAATCAGATTTTTGACGTGAGTTTTGAAGTGACGGGACGAACAATTCGTGTATGTGGTGGTAAGCGACACGCCTGTCAATAATAGTTGCAGTGCCGCTCAGAACTTTAAATCGTCAAGATCTGAGAGGTACTGCACTCCTTACCTTGAGTTGATAAGTCCCATGTGTCTGTAATTTCACCAGCAACGCAGTATTACTCACATTACTGCTTGACGGCAGAAACAAGTAAAGTGGCAGTACTTTCCTGTACGAACCCTTCCACGAGGAGCTCTACTAACACTACGACGCCTTTCCAGCTACCGTATAAGTTTTAATTCATTAAAAAAACATCCACTAAGGTATGAAAACTTATTGGTCCTGCTCTTCACAAGGAACGCTCATAAGAAAACGTCTCTTATAGTTCACGTTGAGTACCTATATATACTCAAACAAATCGTACCTAAAGCGTACCATAGTCAAATCTTGGCAGACGTAACGTATACGGAAAGCCATATTATACGTGGCCAGGCACTGTCTCTAGTCTTTGAAGGTAATGGTCCGTTACCTCTTGAGCTAAATGGACGAAAGGCACGCGTTCGTCAGCGGCGGCGACGACGTGTGCGAGTTCGGGTAAGAAGTAAGCTGGCTGACGCACTCTCACGGCGCGCTGGTTCGACGCGGCCAACTTGCGCTTGCCGGGTTGCATGCCTGTGCCATAGGAATACTGTGTAATATACAGTATCAAGGTGTAATTATTACATATCCGGACGACTCGGAAATCACAAATATTTCCGATCGCTGTTGCCGCGTCTACATGTTACCGTATTAATCACTGATGTATTTATGAATTTATTAAATATAAAACTTTATTGTTAGAAATGAAACTATGTTTTCGGATCTCAACGGCGTATTATGTTTTTTAAACAAACCACATTATGGGCCTTTTACAGGTCACGACTGACTAATACAGTCTCAACCAGTTACGTCTGTAGCATAGTAGAATAAGAACATGTGCGCTACCGTCCACTAACTAAAACGCGGCTACGTGACATATCCGTTTTAAACAGCATAAGATACACCTCAAAATTCTATATTTCAAAACAGTTTAAAGTTAGTTAACGTATAGGATATGTCGGAACTTACCCTAATGCTGCTCAGCTAAAATATCTTTGAACAATTTTATTGCAATATTCTAAAACTGGGTTATGTTTCTTTATGACATTTCAAAAATGATTTTATCACGACGTTAGACGGTAACTCCGTATAAACGTAGCTGCGCGGTTCATATGTGTGCGCCAGCCGCGCGCCGTGTACGGACACATACATTCGCATTTTCTAAGAATGCATTAACCGTTGCTTAACGCGTGTCGTCTCGCGCGCCATTCGTTATGGAATTGAACGAATAATGGGCCAATGATTATTCAAATGAAATAAGTTTGGCTATTTATTGTATAAGCGTGACCAATATTCAAGCGATAGTCGATAGAATTTTTATCGACTGCAATCACTATAATCCGAAATGGAGTATATGATGAGTAGCGTAGGATGACTTCTGTGAGTTCCGTTTATACATTACACGCGTACTCTCAACCAGGTTACAAAAAGAAACAGTAAATTTATTATAAAGTACCGAAAACAAACAATATTCGTGCAGTTGTAATTTTAAATAAAAAATACAGTATATTAAGTATAAAGAAAGTGAAATAATAAGGATAAAAATAAATTATTCCAATAGCTTAATGCGTAAAACGGAATGCTTATCTGTAGAGATTTACACCATAAAATCGTGTATCCATAATATCGTGTATCCACAATATCGTGTATCTCGCGACAATGCGAATGCATTGTACGCGGGTATTTTTTTTTGTTTTATATAATATATAATAATAATAATAATAAAACTTTATTCATATTAAGTACAGCAGCACTTGTTTTCTTAAAAACAAAACAAAAATACAAATTGGTTGTACTACAAGCAAACAATAATTAAACCATCATAAAACTATTGTAGGTTCTAGACCTGTGTTAACAGTGTTATGAAGATTCTCCGTTATAATCAAGAAACATAACCAATCATTGGATTGCAATTAACTAGATGTAGTGTGGTGCCGTAAAACGTGTGGTTAAGGCTCATAGTGTGGGCGTGTGTGTGTGTGTGTGTGTGTATGTGTGTGAGCTTGTGGGGAGTATATGTGTGAGAGTGATTGTATGTGTGGTGTTGAGTGCAATAAAAGGATAGTCAAGATAGGATAATATAAATTAAAATAAGTAATTTATGAGATTTTGACCAAAAGCTCTTCTGTCGTCTCGTAAGATAACGTCCGCAACCAATTTTTAAGTTTATTTCCGACTTCATACTTGTTTAATATATATATGTTTAAGGACTTGTTAATTCTATTGTAAAGTCTCGCACTTAGTGCAGGTAATTGTCCGCCAGCAAAAGCAGTATGGCGTCGTTTGATATCGCAAACAGGAAAACCTCGACGCCTGCTAAGAGTGATTGGGTCGAGTGGTAGATTTGAGTGCCGATGCAAGACACATTTCAATATAAATAATTGCCTCACCGTGAGAACCTGTGCATTGGAGTATAACATTGCAGTGGAGTAGTCTCTTGGCTTAAATAAAATAGTCTTTAGCACCGCTCTTTGTGCCCGTTCAAGGGACAGTAGGTGCGACTTACCTGCACCACCCCAAATGGGTATACAATACGATATTATAGACTCGCACAAGGAACGGTACACTAGAAGAAGCGTATCAGAGTTAACACAGTGTCGCAGATTTTTGAAAACATATATCAACTTTCTTACCCTTCCACAAATTTTGTCAATGTGGTGACTCCAATTTAATCTTTCGTCCACTTGAACTCCTAGGTATCTTACAGAATTAGATCTTGTAAGGGTAAGGCAATTACAGTTGCTAATACTATTGCAAATGTGTGCTTTTATAGATTTTGAGCATGCTGGAGGATCAGACCCAGATAAATTAAAACGTACGTAGGTGGTCTTGTTGATGTTGAGTGTTAATAAATTAGCAGATAGCCATTCCATGACTACTCTCAGAGAAGATTCCGCTCTCATTTTTGCCTTTTCCCAGTCCACATCATATACCAGAAGCGCAGTATCGTCTGCGTATGTAAAAATCTCACAGTTCTGGAGCTTTAGCATGCACATATCATTTATGTAGACCAGGAAAAGGGTTGCACCCAAAATGCTTCCCTGGGGCACGCCGTAATTCAGCAATTCATCGTCACTACTGAAGGAATTAATTTTTACACACTGTGTACGTCCTGATAAATAATCAATAAAAATGTTTAGGGCGTTCCCACGGACTCCAATCTGTTCCAGTTTTTTAATAAGGATTGGGACAGAGACAGTGTCAAATGCTTTACTCAGATCCAGGAATATTCCATAGCACTTCTGTTTATTATCCATTTTGTCTATTAATGAACCAGTTAAGTCAGCAATTGCGTTTTCTGTAGAAATGCCATTTCGAAATCCATACTGGTTTTTGGAAATTATGACATATTTCTCGAGATAATCTTTAAGGCAATTATTTAAGATTCGCTCAAGTATTTTTGACAGGGAGGTTAATATAGATATGGGTCTATAATTTGAGACACTGTTTCTGTCCCCACTCTTAAAGATCGGATGCACAACAGCTTTTTTAAGTGCTGCCGGAAAAACGCCAGAATTGATCGAAAGATTGCATATGTGTGCAATTGGTGAGACCAAGACCGCAGATGAGTTCTTTAGGACTCTTGCCGGTATATTGTCCCAGCCGTTTGCACAGTCAGAACGGAGGGACTTAATGAGTAGTTCTACTTGGTCATCGTCCACAGGTAGTATAGCAAGTGAGTTACTCCGCAATCGGGATTCTCCAGAAAGATGAAAAGACGGTGCAGAACCACCAATAGGGATTATATTTGACGCCAGGTCATTTCCAACTTTTACGAAGTAATGGTTAATTTTGTTAACGGCTATTTGCGGGTCAGAACTCATATTTAGAAGGTCAGTAGGAGGTTTCACATTATTGCCAATATTAGCTACAGTCTTAATAGCGTTCCACGTTTGTTTCATGTTATTTTTCGCTTCCAAAAATAAATTTTTTTCATATGCCCTTTTTACTCTCTTAATTAGATTATTGCAAAAGTTGCGGTAACGTTTGTATGATATCTCTAGAATGATATTTTCAGGATCTTTTCTTAATTTGAAATGTAATTTATCACGATGTCGAAGACAACGTAATAGACCTGTAGTCATCCAAGGTTTGATAAGTTTGTGTTTCTTTTTAATTGTAACTACTTTAGAATGTCTATTTATCACTGATTGTAATAAAGTTATTAGTTTATTAGTGGCAATATTAGGATCATTTTCTTTCAAAATTTGGGAGAGGTCAGTGCTATCAACTTCATTTTTTATGCCATGATAATCTAATTGCGTCGTTGTGCACAACTGATCCGATTTTCTCATCAGTTTTGTTCTTAAGCTTAGCACTATCGGTAAATGGTCAGTAGTTACAGACTCCAATACAAGTACTTTGGCATAGCCTTTGGTTTTGAGTAAGATGTGATCAAGACAGTTTCCAGCTCTGGTAGGCAATACATGTGCTGGAAGTAATCCCAAAGCAGCTGTGACTGTTAAATACTCTTTGTAGTTACCGTTAATACTAGATGGTTTAATGTCAACGTTTATATCGCCTATTAAGGTAATGTTATTGAACGATTTTAAAGAGGAAAAAATAATTTCTAAGCCAGTATAAAATTTAGACAGATCGAGATAAGATGGGGAGCGATAAACAGACACAACTGCTGTGTTGTTCACGGTACACACTAGGCAGTTAGCATCATAAAAAACTGGTTCTGTTACTGTACAATTCAAACTGTCTTTAACATACATAACAACTCCATCGTTTTGTAAAGGATTATTCATAGTGTGGTAAGAATTGTAGCCTTGCAGAGCGGGAATGTGCATAGAGTCCTTTAACCAACATTCTGTCATTATAATAATATCGAAACTTATTTTGGTTATAGCTAAGATGACATTAAATTGATCGAAGTTTTTATTTATGCTCCTTATATTAACGTTGATAATGTTAAGTTCTTGGTTATGTTGTGTGATGAACTTAGAGCAGTTTTCGGGTGCACACATTTGGGCATCTGATACTGAAAAATGCTCAATTTCTAGTGATACATTATTATTTAAGTTTGGATTAAGCATTTTTATAATATATTTTATCATGATCGGATGTCTGCAATATGTAATGTCTACTATTTTTAAATATGTGGGACGCAAAATAGCACTCAGAGCAATATGTTGTATGAGTAAGTGATGAGTGGATATAAGAAACATGATTTAATAATGTGTAGTAAATAGGTATCAAGGTAATATGTAAAAGTAGTGTGTAAGTGTAATTAATATAGTATGTGACAGATTGAAAAAGATTTAAATAGTAACAAGAATTAAAGTTCAGCAAAATATAAAAAGAAACGCACGAAACAGAAATATCAAGTTGTAGTCAAATGTTTTTCAGAACCTCAGACAGGTTTTGCTCAGAAGTAATCCGAATAGGTTTGTCATTTTGGCTCTTGCGTAGGAAGATTCTTCCATTAGAGTGCCAGCAATTCAAACTGTTTTCCTTTGCAGCTTTCCGTGCTTCAAACAACAATTTCCTCAATGCTGGAGATACACGTTCGTCTACGTAAATAGGCGTCTTTTTACCCGCCATCTTAATCGTTTGAGTATTGAGTTTGTCTTGCACATTCTTTGTCTTATTAAAACGCCTTACCGAGGACAGGAACTCGTATCTCGTGTTCACAGATGTAAACTCGACCACTATGGGAGTAGTGGTTGTAGAAGACCCGTATTTATTCGGCATTCGATAGACGTCACGTAAGTCTGTAGGCACTAATTCGACATTTACAGCTGTTCCGACGGCTTTTACAATAGACACAAGGTCAGTAGAGGTTTCTTTCTCAGATTTGAGAGGGACATTGCGGATCTCGATTGTAGCAGATCGCGATTGAGTTTGTACATCATGCAGTTGCTTTTCCAGAGATATCACCCTCTCCGTGTTTGCAGCCCTTTCTTTTTCTAGGAGTGAGATCTTGTTTTTCATATCTTCGTAGCTGCGGTTAATATATTCCATTCCTATTTCTACATCTGTAGTAGTTTTTAAATTTTGTTGGGCTTGTCTTTTCAGTTCAGCCACATCATTCACCAGCGCGGTCATTACGGATGTCTGCTCAGCTCTCCAAGACGCAAGCGATTCTTCCTGTTGACCCTTCCACGCAGTGAGCATAGTCATAAGATCTATCCTGAACTCATTAAACATGGTAGATAAAGGTTGATTTGTTTCACTGCGCGGTGAGTCGAACATGGCAAGATGTTTCCTAGCAGTGCCTTTATTTTCGGTAGCATTCTCCATCCTCAAGTTGGTAGAAATGGAGGGCAGATCAGGCTCCGAAATTGATTGATTTGTAATACCTTTAGATAAAGGGGGAGCATTTCTCCTTTTTGACATCACGTCGTATATGAACTAAACGACCCAATAAAATCAGTACACAACCGAAGCGCTGACGAATGTTCACAGTTCTCGTAGCAATAGTGACGGCAATTTAAAAGGCGATTTCGTAGACATCAATTAGTAGCACTCTGTGACGTTGCACTACGCTGTAGCTCCGCGTAGGTGTCTGATGACTAACGCTTGCCGATAGCGGTGAATAGTTTGGGGCGCACTGTTCACTGCAGCGTGGCGTGGCCGTAGAACGTTCAACTGCAACGCTGCCGACCCAGGTTCGATTCTGACCCAATAAGGCACCTCAATCCGAAGTTTTTTTCTTCAACACACGATGCAGCACAACACCCCGCAACGAGCACACACCAGCAGGGGGGGTCAAGTTAAGCGATAAAAAGAGAGGTCCGAACAACATCAATATGGCCGCCGGCTCTTACGGAAAGACCGCCAAGATGAAACAGGAGGATCCGAGTTTTTCAAGACACCAAGAGTCACTCAAACAAATTCAAAAACTCCGTCGGAACCACAATACCACGAAACACAAAAACGACCACACGGCACGGCGCACGGTGGAGAACTGAACTGAGTTTTGAGCATAGCGTGATGTTTTTGGAGTAATTCTTCAAATTTCGTGTTCTTGCAGTTGATTTTATGCTCCGTCGTTGATTTTTTATTTGTTGTGCAGTTTTTTTGGTACCTTAAGTTATTAATAATTGAATCCTTTTTATTTTGTCATTGCTTGTTCTTAAATTATTTTCTAAGAGATAAAATTATTTATCTCGATAAGATATTTAAATCGATTTATCATTCGTTTTACATTACTATATCTCTAGAAACAAATCTCAAACATCACGAAATCATGCTATATGAAATGAACTATAGCCGCTTTAAGCGGGCAACTCTTTGGCTCAATGAACTGTCATTTTACTCCATCTTCAAAAAATACTTACTTTGATATTAATGCAAGCAACCCTATTGTAAATAAAGATATCGCACATGACACATAACATAGTATTGTCTTATAAATTGCGTTATGTGTGTGTCATTCACTTTGAAATGAAATCGTATGTGAATGATATTACATGTAATATATGACAGTAATAAAGCAATTTTTGAGATAGTATGTTAGTTGTCATGTGCGATATATTATATTATACATAACTCTGTTATTATTAAAATATCTCACCCAGCGTATCAAGCGGAGTAAAAGGTCCATGTGTAAGTGTGAAGGTGTCCAGTTCGACCAGAGAATGCAGTTTCAAGAAGGCTCGGGCTCCTCCCGTTGAAGTGGACGACGCATTCGATGTGTTCGACTAAATAATAGACTACATTATATCGATACTTCGGGGATGCAAAAATAAATTTTATGAAAAAAAAGTTGTTTTACATAAACAATTGAGTTCAATTTTCATGCTCCTTCCACCTGTCTACTCAAAATTTAATTATTCAACAAAAAAGGTTTATTTTACATAAAGAGTTGTAAAATTAAAAAGGGTATGCAGTAAAACGTTTATAAATTGGTTATTTTTTACTTGTTCTGTAAAGTTTGTAGTCCAGTATTTACGCCCTTTCTTCCCCTAAATATCGATATACTACGAATATTGTTAATGTTATCGATATCTTTGTTATTTTTGTTGGAAGACTTTCACTATAATAACGAGTTTAAAAATTATTAATATTGTACAGACTAAAAGAAACTTTAGAAATTCCATGTAACTATTTCAGGGACAAGTTCAGTACACAATACCAAATATAATTTATTATGAAGACCCCTCTCAAATCGCGTAACAAATAGCTATTCCATACAACCACCGTGATCCAACGGTTAGCCAGTGCTGGCAGCTGGATGAGGATTTCCATTTCGATTCCTGGTTGGACTAATTTGGAAAATGAACTTTTCTGAATTGGGATAGTCTAGGTGTCCTGGGACTACCCATAACTAAATAAGTGGTAGAGCTAGTGCCCCGGAGTTAATTTCATTGCTCTGTTACTCACAATAAAGGGAAATCACTAGTTTGAGACCAGATTATTGTGGAGGTTGTTTATCTCATTGATATTATTATTAATACATTCTGGTCCAGTAGGTTTGAGTTGCTATAAAACTGTGGTCGAATTATAAGATAGTGTAGCTTAGGGAGTTAAATCTGACCACTATTGTTGAACCAAATTGAGAAATAAATTAATTTTTAATTTAATTTTAATTTTGTTGCCTAAAAAATTAAATTAAAATTTGGATTGCTTGGAAGTTAGCCGTACCTCATCCTCACACTCTTCGGGGGTACAACGCCGGGCGCCGGCGAGGTGGAAAGAAAGCGCTACACAACATGCGCTGCCGCTGTTGTTTGTGTTGCTGGTAGTGGCCGTGCTGCCCGCTGCCACTTCTTTCATTTCAACTATCTGTTTGATAACATTCAAAGTTACCGTTTGTAAAACTTCAAAAACGTAACTGGACATATTTCTGATTTTTTAAAGACAAGGACACAGTGAGTTAAGCCATATTAAATGCGAATAATGAAGTTTTTCTTTCAAAATTGCCCAACATCAAAATTATTTAAGTTTCAACCAGAGCAAAAAGTGATTAAATAACGTTGATTTAGAGTCCTAAAATGAAGCAAATAAGTCTCACCAATATGTGATCAGTATGGCGATGTAACGTCACGTAAAGGCGGTCCTGGGATAGCTTGCTTAAAGGGTGGTCAGGTCCGTGCAAGAATGGCAAATGTTCGCACACGCTTGCGGGCAGATGCTGAAGGGTTTTTTCGCAACGACGGGCAACAAGCCAGAATCTGGGGACAATCCGGGAATATTTTGCTAAAAATATTACCTTTGGACATGAGTACTAGAGAAATTAAATGATTATTACTTCCACGGATCAATAAATACTATAGAAGTAGTTAGTCAGCGATACACGCATGCCAAATGTAGGCACAGTTGTGCCTACTTGAGCTCAGTCCGAAACTTTCGTTTTGTACAATATGGTTGTGTTAATTCCTTAAATCGCAAATTCTCTAAAATCGTAGAAAAATGCCTTATTGAGTGCAAAAATGATAGCCGCACCAAAAATATTATCCGTGGTGGTATTTCATATCATTAGTAAGTTTTATTTTAATTAATATAATAGTTTCAATTTTATGTTTATCGAATTGATTTCGAAGAGATTCAAGTCAAAATATTCAAAATATACGTGAAAGTGTTACTTATTCAATTTATTGAGTGATTGGTTTACAATTTTAATCAAACCAGTTTATTTACTTTTCCTGAACAATGAATTGAAACAGACTATAGTGTCATTTAGTACTTAAAAAAATGGTAAATAATATAGTAGTTACCTGAGTTGCGTAAGCATAGCCTTGATCTGTGGTAAATTTGTAGAGGCCAGCGCAGAGGCCAGTTCGGGCATCTTCGGCGTGTTGGGGTAGGCCGGGACGCGTGCGCGCAATCTACCACCGTGTGCCCCCACAGACACTAGCAATTGTTCAGCGCGCAGACACGGGTATAATACTGAGCAGGCGAGTACACACGGCCAACCGCCTACCACACATTCCACCTGGGAATGGTTACTAAGTATAAATCCATATGCAACAAGCGACACTATTGTAACTTTAGACAATGTGAGATAAATCTACGCATCTCCTGGTTATTATGTGTCTAATAAAAAATATTTTTATCGTGTTCTATTGCATATTACTATACATTAGATAGCAACTAACATAGGGAAAGAAAGAAGAAATCTTACCCCAAGATCATTGAGTAGCACTTTCAGATCATTCAGTCTTTGCCGTGAGCGAACATGCACTGTATGAGCTAATAGGCGCTCCATAGACGGCGCATGAGGCGTGAGAGCGGCCGCTACCCGCTCACCGCCCTGCAACGCGGGCACGTGCCACACACATAGAGATTCGCCCTCTGCGCCCACTATTAGGCGGTAACCGAGCTCGCAACCTAGTTCCCTGCACAAATATTTTGCAGTTATTTTACAAAGCCACTGTTATGATTAAGTTGAAGATCCCGAAACTCTGGTAACTGATACACAAATTGCATGTCTGGTTTGTTCATTTATCAACTTCTTCTATTTGATTTGTTTTAAGATCCTTCTATTTCAGAAACAATTTTATCACATATAAAATTAAGCTTAATTTCTCAAACAAACAAAAGGCTAACAGTCAGTCGTGACTGACCATGCGACCAAAAAAAGAACCCGAAAAGTCGGTGTGTTTGAAAAAAGAAATATGCACGATTTTAGGTCTGAAAAAAAATTATCTTTTCGTTTATTTCCACGTTGCTTAAACCGAAGACCTTAATATCCTCTAATTTATCACATCTAAAGATCAAAGTGATAAATAAAACACATGTGAATCCTCACATACCCACAGGCTAAAACTTAAAAAAGAAATGAGAAAGTTGAGACAAGGCTTTAATTTAAAAAAAAATTGTAGTAGAAAACTTACCTCCAATAAGAAACTTGTAGTTTTTGTCCAGGTGTATATCTGTCGACTTGCAAATGACGCGCAAGTCTATCACGACAGAGCCTCAAAGTTTGTGTATAAAGGAGCTCCAAAGAGAGAGAGCGGCAAAAGTACCGTAGTGCGGCGAGGGCTCCACTCAATCCGGCGGCTGCTAGGCGCGCTTGTGCAACACCCCGTAACCAGGCAAGTTGAGAACTGTGTACTAATGGCTTACCCTCTGAAAAATTAGAATAGTTAGTAAAATTAGCATATGACAATGCTAGATCAGTCGGAGGCAATAATGTTTTACTTCAATGACGAAACAATATTGTTTATAAAGAGAAAGAAGCATTTCAACTTAACTTGATAACTTACCTCCAGTCTCATTGTCTTGGATAAGTATGGCAATATCTAATAATCTCCAAGGTACACTAGGTCCATCACCCATTACAGTCAGGGACACACTGAATTCTTGACCTACTGAAAACGTGGCACGCCCATTTTCCACCTGATAACAAGCATATGGCATTAACATAATGATGAGATTTAAGAATTGAAACTTACACATACAAAGTAAAGTTTTGTTACAATATCTTTCCACAGTAAGTATACCATATTGGCTAGCAGAAAGTTGAGAAACCTTTAAGTTGCGAACGTCGCTAGGCAGAGAAGCAGTAGTAAGTCTCTGACGGACTATGTGCGACAAAGCCCTCAAGGTACTGCGGCGCTCGGCTGGCATCAGAGATGGCGGAGGCACTAGGCGCTCTCTGATCACTGCAGGCATGCGGCTGTAGGTGCCCAGGGTCAATACTTCCACTGCTGCAGCCATGTGAAAAGTTGGTAGCCTGTGCAATTAAGTACAGGATATATTCTGGTTTTTAATCAACTATTTAATTTATTCATTATTAGTGTTACATGACGCAGGTTTCCTCTATAAAGGTGTGATTAAAAAATGTGGATTTCTTTATTTCATGAAAAAAACTTTATTTATTCATTGATTACATGTATAAATTGTTGCTCACTTCAAAGTATTCCCTCTCCAGCTGGCTTCATGTCAGCACTTTTTCCAATCCTAATTTCTGGAATGCAGTTTTAGGTATGGTGCTAAGCTCCATGAACATCGTCTTTTCATGGTTATATACAATTTCAGAAATAGGAAGAAATCACAACAAGCCATCTCTAATAGAGTGGTTGAGGTTTCATAGCAGTGTCATTTAAATTCAAGAACAAACCAGTGAATGTGAGCTAGTGTGGATAAAATATTGGGACAAATTTTACTGCCATTTGTTTTATACTCTAAACATCCACAGCAACAACAAGCTTAATTAGGGGTCTCTTAGGGTCCTGATATGCCTATTAATGCTAAACACTGTATAGAAGCTCTGTCACTACACAAAAATGTCATCAAAATGCTGACTAAGACCTTCACAGGACATTGTGGCTTAAATAAGCACATGTCAAATATTGGACAGAAAGAAAATAGAGAGTGTAAATTTTGCCACAAGGCCAATAAAACTCTTCTGCATCTCCTTACCCAATGTTGCGGCATGTACTGTTCCTTGGGCCTGAGTCCCTGACCCTGGTTGACTGTGCCATTTCCGAGAAATACTGCCTCTCCCATTTAAAAGATCAAAATTAATCTTTTAGGTTATGGGAAAGGTGAGTTTAAAATAGATATCCAAAATAAATAACAATAAAACATCAATAAAAATTGTTTGACAAGGGTCAAATGATATTCCAGGCTCATCAGAAGCCTCTCTAATAGTGATTTGATAATAGCCTGTAACCATTTTTTCACTGTAGTAGATCAGTTGTCAGTGTGCTGGGATATCTAGAGAGCTTATTTTCTTAAGTGTCTCAATCACCCTCTTTAAAATGTTTGTACCACTTTTAAATAGTTATTATATTCTTTGAATAGTTTCCAAAAGCAATATGTAATATTTCCAATGTGATGAAACTTTCGATTCCAAACCTAATGCAGATTTTAGGCAAATTCTTTATTCCATTTAATTATTACACAGAAAAAATCATCTATTACTGTTAATCACATATAACCATTTCAAATGCCAGCAACAAAGTAAGCTTTCAATATGCCAACCGTTGTGAACATGGGTAAATAACCTGGGATATTAAAAAATGACAGATTTTTTTTATCACACCTCATAATGTATCTTTAATATAGTCCATTTGTTTAGGCACTTACCTAAATGTAAACAATCTTGATACAGCTTTTTATTGAAACACAAACTTTACAAATAAAAAAATTGGCATGTAATTTCATATGAAACTAAGTATTTGTATTTTGTATTTGAAGGTAAGTAAAAATAATTTTATAAATGTCTATTTCATTAAATAGACATCTCAAGACTGTTTACATTTATGTACCTAAACTAATGGACTATAGTAGTCTTTTAAAAATAATATTACATAATAATAGTCAAATTGAAATAAACCTTGCATGAACAAGTGTCTCTCTTGCAACTCTTGCAAGTACATCAGCTGTCTCTACAAAAAGTAATGCCTGCTTGTCCAAGAATGCCATAATGTGTGCTGAACGATCAACTTTAGTGGCACTGCTAGCCCACTTCACAAGGGCTAACAGTCGAACGAATAGTTGTCGAGTACGGGCACTGAACTTGTATATCTCGATCTTGCGCTCCATATCCGTTTTTCGGGGCAATCTAAAAAATGGATCAAATAGCAGTGAAAAATAAATTACTTAAAAATACTATGAACTTAACATAGAATTAACACTTACAACTCGGCTAAGACAGTGAGTTCATCGTAAGTCCTCTGTACGATAAAATCTATTAACAAAGCCAGCGAAATAGAACCACCTCGGGCTCCACCACCCTCGGTGCCTTGGGTGCACCCTTCTATAGCCACAGGCACCATCTTGAGTTTGTTACTAACGAACAGACGTAATTCAATCTATTGTCATTTTAGTATACACTGTTATTTTGTTAATATCGGTATGTTTAACATAAAACTTCTTCCATCTAAGTCGCTTTGTCAACCACAGAAACAGAATAATATAATATTACTGCACAGATACCACAGACCACTAACGTCGACATTGTCGTGTTTTTTTTTTTTTTTTTTTTTTTTAATTTATTGCTGGCCATGGAAACAAAGTCCTTCAGCCGAAAACATAAACGTTTAATTATATTTCTGTAAATATGGCCACCACAAAGAGGATAGGCAATTTGAGGCGGCGTGCTTGGATTGACTCGGGATTCCTTAGAACGGGCCGATACGGGTATTTTAGTTCGAGATTCGTATAATTTCGCGTTTTAATCTTCGATTAAGGCACAATAGCACTATCCTATTCCACTTTAAACTAGATTTCACAAAATAATTGAAAGTCATAATAAAAACAACACTTTTCCCTCCAAAAGGTCCAGAGCGGATCCTTGTCGTCTGTCAACTAAGAGTATGACCAGATTTTAAGTGATCATCCTGCTAACAGCTCAGTTAAAAATGCTAAACTTTAAAAAAAAATTAAAAAATATGCTAACGAATAATTCACATTTAGTATTGACATAAACTTCACTTGTGTTTATTTTGTCATCATTTGATCAATATATTAAAATGATCAACATATTTTAACCCTTTAAGCATATCATCCCAATTTTGCAACACTTACAAGATCTGCGGGAAAATAAAAGGAGTGCAAACTTTTTTTATATAGTGTGACACGCTCAGAACAATATTATTGTTCTGAGGTGCATTTTTTTCCATCCTCTAAGGGTAACACGCTCGCACATTGGAAGTGACACGGACATTTGTCCATCAGGCCCTTAGAGGTGGAAAAAAAAATGAAATAGCTCTTTCGGACCGGCTCCGAAACTACTTGGAATTTCTCCGAAAAAACTTGCATACACCTGAAATTCTGAGGTCAATTTTCCATTTTCCGGCCGCTGTTTTGGAAAATTTTGGCCCACTTCGACTCTTTATAACAGGCAGGCACAATTATGCAGGAACACGATTGTATTTAGATGGGCCTTTAATATATATTTGAGTAAATACAACAAGAATAATTTTGTTATTACTATTATTTATTAGGTAAATAAAATCTTAAGACATTTCTTGCATGCAAATCTCTGGATGACAGTTTTCAGAGCCTACCTGCTCTTGATGACTTGCTCACTGACACTTTTTCAGAATTACCAAAGAATTTTAATGCAGTTCACATTAATGCGCAAAGCATTCCGTCACACTACGCTGACATGCTTGCCACGTTTGACAACAGGAATATTCATGCAATTCTTGTGTCTGAAACGTTCTTAAATCCTTGTCTTCCTTCTACTTCCTTTGGTATTCCGGGTTTCCAGCTTATTCGTAATGACCGTACTAGTTCATCCCACGGTGGAGTAGCCATTTATATTCGTTGCCATATTCCCTTTGTAATACTTAGTACATCTCCTCAACCACCTCCACCCAACACAGCAGAACATCTATTTATCGAAATTACTCTGTCTAGTCATAAAATACTTCTAGGAGTCTACTATAGTCCATCTTTACACATTGACTACTTCTTCTCTATTGAAAAACTCCTTGAAGATTTTTCTTCTTCCTATGACCACACAATTCTAATGGGTGATTTTAATACATGTCTTCTCAAAAATGATTCTCGATCGCGCAGACTTTCTTCGGTCATCAACTCCTCTAACTTACACATTCTTCCTTCAAGCGAGACGCATCATTTCCCCAACTGTTCCCCCTCACTCCTCGATTTAAAAATAGTTTCTTCTCCTGAACATGTCATTAAACATGGTCAATTTCCAGCCGATGCTTTTTCGTATCATGACCTTGTATACCTATCATACAGGGTGCGTGTGCCTAAGGCTAAGGCAAAAATCCTGCTGCAGCGCAATTCTGGGGCCATGAACCTGGATCGACTGCGAGAAGACGCAATTGGAGTTGACTGGGCGGTAGTGAATGACGCTGGTTCGGTGGATGAGCAGGTTGAGTTATTTACATCACATTTGACTCAATTGTATGACGTGCATGCTCCTGTTCGTCCAATTCGTGTTAAACATCTCCCTGCGCCCTGGCTGTGTAAAGAACTTCGCGATTTCATGGACAAGAAGAATCGGGCAAAGGCTAGATTCAAAGCTGTGTCATCTGATGACAACCGTGAGAGGTATCACCGGTTACGCAATCGTTGTAACACGATGATTAGGGATGCTCAGAGACGACACATACACAGTCAAGTTGAAAATGGCAATCCGGCAAAAGTCTGGAAATTCTTAAAATCACTAGGAATTGGCAAATCTCGGTGTGTTACTTCTTCTCATGATCTTAACCTTGATCAGCTCAACAATCACTTCTCATCGACTTCTGTCTTAGACTGTTCAGTTAAAGACAAAACTTTGCAATTTCTATCGTCACTACCTACTTCTAATTATTCTTCTTTTGTTCTTAATCAATTTACTGACTGTGATGTTGAGAGAAACATTTTAGCTATTTCATCTAATGCTGTTGGTAGTGATTGCATTAGTCGTAATATGATCGTTCCTCTCCTTGATGTCCTCACTCCCGTCATTACTAAGATCCTTAATTCATCTGTTTCCACCTGTGTTTTTCCCACTGCTTGGAAAGATGCTTACATCATTCCGCTCCCTAAAAAATCCAAGCCGAGTACGTCGTCGGACTACCGTCCCATATCAATTCTTCCTTTCCTGTCCAAAGTCCTATAAAAGCTTGTCCACTATCAGTTAACTCAGTTCCTAAACCGTAACAACCTTTTCAATCCTTACCAGTCTGGTTTCCGCACCGGTCATAGTGCGACTACTGCACTCACTAAAATCACTGACGACATCCGTGCGGGCATGGAGAAACAACAAGTCACTATTTTAACACTCCTTGACTTCAGCAACGCATTCAACGGTGTCGACTTCGATCTTTTATTGGGAGTACTACGTTCTCTCAACATATCTCCAGCAGTTATTGATTGGTTTCAGAGCTACCTGTGTGGACGTCGACAGCGGATACTTTTTGATGATTCCTTCTCTACGTGGTGTGGCACCTCTGCCGGCGTCCCGCAGGGCGGCGTTCTTTCTCCTCTCTTATTTTCTATTTTTATCAATTCTATTACTCAATCGATCACATCTTCCTATCATCTTTATGCGGACGATTTGCAAATTTACACCCAGTCGTCTCTTAGTAATATAACATCTGCTGTCAATGCTACCAATAACGACCTTAATTCTATACTTCTCTGGAGTCAGTCGTTTGGACTTAAGGTTAACCCGTCCAAAACTCAGTACATCGTTATTGGTAGTCCGTGGTTTGCATCAAGAATCGATTATAGCTCGCTTCCACCGGTGATGTTCGATGGTGTCCAGATTTCTATTTCGGAGTCAGTTAAGAATCTGGGGGTTATTTTTGATAAATCTCTTTCATGGAAACCGCACGTTGCTGAGGTTAGCAGGAAGGTGTTTAATGCGCACTTCTCACTGAGAAGATTAAGAAATTACCTGCCAATTAAAACCAAAATTAACCTGGCTCAAAGTCTCCTACATCCGATACTGGACTATGCTGATGTTTGCTACCCTGATTTGACAGTCACTCTTCTTAATAAATTGGAACGGCTCCAAAACATGTGCATACGCTTTATTTTCGGACTCCGGAAATTCGACCATGTTTCCCAGTTTCGCAAACAACTTAAATGGCTACCAATCCACCGTCGTAGAGACCTTCACGTCCTTTCCCTCCTTTTTTCAATTCTTTACGACACCTTTGCTCCTCCTTACCTCAAAGAACGTTTCGTCTTTCACGCTTCTACACTTGACCGTCCACTTCGCTCCTCTCAAACCCTTTCTTTAGAAATGCCCTCCCATGCTTCTGATTTTTTCTCTAACTCTTTCTCTGTTTCTGCTATCCGATTGTGGAATTCTCTCCCTGAAAATATTCGACGATCCCCCTCTTTACATACTTTCAAACAACGTGTCAAGGAGCACTTTCTTGAGCAGTGACTTCTTTCCCTTTCTGTCTTTAATGTCCTTGTTCTGTTGTTGTTATAATCCTTCATCATAATATAATAAGTAAATATTTTTATAATTATTTATTTATGTATTTACATTGATATCATTGTGTATTTATTATTTTTATTTATTTACTTTAAAATGATATATTATTGTGTTTATTATAAGTATTTATTTATATTATATACTATATTTATTATTAGTATTTATTAATATTGTGTCTCAATCTATCGCTGTGGTAGTATCTTGGTTGCACCCCCTTCTAAGTACTTTTCCTATCCTAAGGTTGCCTGGAAGAAATTGCTACTTAGCAATAAGGCCGCCTGTTGTGCGTATGTTTATCTGTACATGTGTTTATGTTCGTGTGTTTATCTGTGCAATAAAGTATATTCATTCATTCATTCATTCATTCATTCATTCAAAATCAACAAACAGTCTTAAAAGGTACCTTTTTAACCGACTTCAAAAAAGGAGGAGGTTCTCAATTCGACTGTATGTTTTTTTTGTGTTTTTATTTTTTGTATGTATGTTACGCGATAACTCCGGTATTTGTGAACCGATTTTCATGATTCTTTTTTTGTTGGAAAGGGGGTACGTCCATAGTGGTCATTTCATTTTGAAGAAAATCATCCACCTCAAAGGGTGGCTGTTCACGCAAGAAGATTCATTTTCATAAATAGCGCCTAACTTTAATTTAGGAGCAATTACTTTTAGCAATTATTTAGTTGATTTTGCTATATGTCCAATTCAAGGCATTTTTCTCTCGATATACTTTGAGTAGTGTCGTAGTGAGAACCTATTTTTATTATCTCCAGTATCAAGTCCTGTATAGTGGCGAACTAGGGGATAATTCAATGAAACTTAGCAAATAGACGTAATTCCACGTACTTTTGAGGTCGGTTTTTTTAGTACTCTGTACTGAGATTATCTAATAGTACTTTTTATCATAATAAGCCTCATCGTGTCGTCTGGTGTAAAATATTTCTCAAAATATTGAGCGGGTGTTCCTACCGAATTTACATTTTGTAAAATTCATATTTTCAGAAAAAAATTTTGTTTTTTAGTATTGTAGCGGACTCTATCAATGGGTTAAAACAGGGGTTCCCACACTTATTTTGTCTATTGCCCACTTTGAGAATAAATTATTGTTTAGCGCCCCCATTTTTTCACCTACTTAAAAACCACTATAACTTCAAATTAAATTAATTATTGTGAGCTATATTAGTGGAGATTAAACATTCATTCTAAACGAGACTTACTATAACCCGCAAGAGTTAACTTGAGACCTGAGCGCAGTAGGTAACACACAACGGCGCTCAGATCTCAAGTTAACTCTTACGGGCTACACCTGTCAATGAGAACGATTATTGAAACGCAACTTTATAGTATTCAGACAGAGTATCTTTTATTCAAAATAAAACAAACATAATCAATTCTAATATAAAAACTAATGTGAAGGATGGATCTGATGCTGTTTAATAAGTTTGTTGATCAGGTTCCAATTTACTCAAGAACAGGCGCAAGTCACAGCAAGCAGCGTTGTCATGAATTCGAATTTAATATATTCCGCACAGTATTGCCGTCTCTTCTTTTTAACATCCGACATTGATTTGTTTCGAGAAATATGTAAGTAAGTGTTGAACTTAAGCACTGCTTATCTATTACGTGCGAAACCGCAAATGAAAGTAAAATAAATAATACGTTGTTTACATAGGATTGCATAAGCAGCACGCCCCGACAGGAATAAGACAATCATGTATAAACTCGTTTATCTTGTTCGACGCTATATCGTACTCAACAAGAAAGAACAAGTATTCTATGAACCAGATACAGGAATGTACAAATCGGGTTACTTAACAAAAACTTGTTAAAACATGATTGCCCGCAGTCACCTATCTACAAAAATGACCTATCTAGGAATACTAATAACTATTAAAATGCGAAACTGTGTCTGTTGCCTTTTTATTTGTTTGTTTGTGTCTACTTTCATTTCGAAACGGGGCGACTGATTGACGTGATTTTTATTTTATTTATTCAATAAAACAGGATAGATATATGAACTACACGGACAGAAATATCGAACCGGGTTAGTTTGAGCAATCTCTTAAATAATATTAGTTGATGTTCACAAGTTGCAGTCCAGAGTCGAGAGCTCAGACGGTGTCTGAAGAGTCTTCCTAGATGTAATTACAAATCTCCCCCTAAACCTTTACACAACCCCAACGTTTCTGGATCTCTTACTGCCCCCCTTTAGGCCTGCAGCGCCCACATTGGGAAAGGCTGGGTTAAAGGATGGGTGCTAACAACGAGTGAGCAAGACCAAGCAAATGTACAGTTTATTAATTTTTACCATATAAACACGTATATCTATTAAAGCAAAAACAAAAACAATAGGCAAGAAAAGGCGCCAAAAATCGCAATGCGATTCGCTACAGATATTTTTCAGAATTCTTCCAATCTTTCAAATTTTACAAATTGTTTAAATTTTACGAAATTTTTTTTGAAAAGTCCACTATTTGAAATTTTTGGAAAATTACCAACAGTATCCGTGGGTTATACTGCCTCGTTTTCAGTTATGTCTTGTTTAAATATGGTAATCGTGACTTGACAAGGTATAAAAAAAACTTTCTGTCGTCTGTCAAATTCACTTTGTCGACTGTTGTCACTCTTTGACAGTGGATTGGTTTGTGGATGTTTCTTTCGTTGTTTCATTCATGGGTTTCATGAATATCTCTGCAATCCCAAATAAAAAAAAAATTACAGTTGTATCACAGAATCTATAGTATAAAATAAAAAGTAGAAGTGGTTGACGACAGAGTAGTCACAAACGTAACGGAGATAAATTTGTATAAATGTTTCAATTCCCTAGTTGTCCAAGTTATTTTACGATGTGTATATTTGCTAATGAATGTTTTATTTAAAGTGGGCTTATACCGAACTGGTAAAGTTACACTCGTGAAAGTTTTATGTAAGTCACCCGATTGTTTGTTTGTGCAAGAAGCGAACATGGGTCTGCTGTCTGAGGGCAGTCCACTTTCCTGGGAGGAAACCAAGAAGTTGGCAGGACACGTGCGTCAGCACGGCGTGGAGCAGTTCATCAACTTATTCGCGAAGCTTAGGGACCGCACGGGAGATGTACTCAAATGGGGGGATGAGGTATGATACTCCTTCCCCTTAATTTTAGTTAAAGTTCGGTTTGTAACAGTTAAAAGTCTAGTACATTTTAATCAATAACAGACGAACAGAATATGAACCTTGATGGTATAATAACTAAAATAAAATTGTTTTAGGTGGAATATATTATAGTGAAGTTTGATGATGTGCAGCAACGAGCTACAGTTAGCCTCAGGGCCAGTGAGCTGTTGCCATTGCTGCAGGAAAAGGAACAAGCAGATCCAGAGAGTGAATATGCATTTTAACTTTTATCTTTTTAACACTAAATACCTAACCTAAATCTGTAATTTTACAAATTCTTCATTTCTAACGTAATTCATTTAAGTGCATGACTGGCAACAAAATTACGTGATTTGTCTAAACCAAGATACTTTGGTTTTTTCACCATGTTTTCAACATATCTGTCAATCAAAAAGTGTCATGTCATGGTATGTTACCAAAATGATTGCACAACATTTTTTAAGGTTAAATTTTGGCTAAGCGATTAACTTGTAGTATTTTAATGATAATCACTATATGAAATAGTTTTTATCGATATCTTTTTTATTGATGAATTAAATGCACATGACCTTCATCAACCTGGGTGGAAAGTGATGACGAGGTTGATGATGGAGCATGAACACCTATATATAATTCTTGTTCATAATTGCCTGCAAAAGGCCTAAGTTATAGTGAAAAAAAATCTGCAGGTGTGTGTGCAAATCTTGGATACATCCACAACATAGGGGTGGAACCCCAGCCTACATCGGTTCGGGTTGGGTGATGGCAGAATTATTTAATTCAATTTCTGTTGCACACTCCTTGATATAATCCTGTGAAACATATTATGTGTGAAAAATAATTAATATCTTTTTAATTTTAATAAGCAACACTTGTTACCAATATAAACAACATATAATTTTTTAACACCCATTTCACAACTTGAATTATTAGGTTGATGAAATATTTGATATTCATTTACTTAACTGAATAATTTATTAACATTTACAAAAACAGTAGTCTATATTTTACAAGAGTACTATAATGGAAGAAGTTATCTGCATTGATTTATATATTTAACCTTAAGTTATAATCCTTGAATGGCCTAGAGATTGAGCTTAGAGTTATCTTTGTCATACTTTAGTTTTTATAACTTTCTGAACTGTTTTATGCAAGGACTGCAAATCGGGACCATATTTGAAATCCGGATTTCACAATGATGCACTATCATGAATTTATGAGACATTACAATTTTGAAAATCAGCTTTCTTAAAGGAGATAGGGAAAATTTAACAGACATTAGCCATAAAATATTTCAAAATTATTGTGTAACAGAAAAAATACAAGAACAAATTAAACATATTTAGGAAGAATCTAACATGTTTTCTTTGAAATAAAAAATGATCCTAAAAATTATAGATCATCTTTTTTCATTTATCCAGCTCTGGATTTTATTGCACAAAATTTCAAAATTCTGTTTGCAGAAGCGTGAGTAAAATTAAAAAAAAAAGAAAGCATATTTAAAATTCCGAATTTTATTTAAAATCTTTTATTTAAGGATTACTTGGATTATATTTCCTAGTTTAACAGGATAATCAAGATTGCATGACAAATAAAAAGCAGTCCCCATACTATTATTATTATAACTATTATTGTTAGTGGAGCATTTCAACACTTGTGAAGTTGTATATCACTCATCAACCAGTAATGTGATATGTTATGATTACGACTATTTACACACCAGACTGATGGATTTTTTAAAGTAGTTTTATGCTCATTAATGAGCCACAGCAGCAAAGGAACAGAAGACGATTTTTGCATTACGAAGCAGATTCCAAAATATCTGCTCTCACTGTCAGCATACAAATTTGTCATTCCTTAATGGTTAAATGAAAAATCATAATGCTGTATTGTTACCACAAGTTTATAGTGTAACCTACTGAAAAGCAATAAATATTGTTTGTGGTTTTGTACGTATGTGTTTGTGATTTATTAAATTTGAAATAATAAAGGGCAAAATATATGTAGAAATAAAAAGTATTTTTTCGAATAATAGATATTTTTATAAGGAAGTTTTTCTAAGTGTGGTTTGTTATCACATATTATTAGATGCTATAAAACCGTTGTATAATATTCACAAATTCATTTTTATTCTTATCTTTATGCATGTAGGTTTATTCTGTTGATTCTGACGACCTTCGTGGTCGAGTGGTTTGCCCACCGATTTTCATGGTGTCACCATCTCTGAGGTTCCGAGTTCGATCCACGGCCGCGGCCGGGTCCACATAAAAAGACTTAACTTTTCTATATTGTTTCTAGTCTGGGTGATTGTGGTACCGTCTCGGTGTTTCCGATTTCCATAACACCATTATAGTTTAGGTTTGCTTTGGGATGAGAGCAGCGTATGTGATGTTGTCTAATATTTATGTTTATATATTGCTTTTTTATAATGATTATTTGTGTGGATGATGATATTACTGAGCACTAAATAAGAGAAGTGGCTCTTTTTATTCTTCTAACTGTCACGCAATACTCAATTACACAGTAAGTAGTGGTTATTCTAATAAGAATTAGCGTTAAAATGAATATTGCATGCATTCCAGTTCCCTGAAAATTCAACGCAACGGTGACATTGCCTCATAAAACACGACATTATAAATTAAATAGTAATAAGTGAATTGTTGTTTTTACAATTGAAATTGCATTAATGTAGTCAACACGTGGTTTTGTATTTAGCCTAAACGGCATTGCTATGTACTTGCCGCATTTTCGATATTCAATTTGTACAGAAATTGGCTCGATTGCCGCTGCTCAGAGTACCTGCCGAGTACAAAGCGATTAACAAACAGACAGTATTTTCCAGGCATCCCAGTCAATATTGGAATTATACACAAATCTAAATGTTGTATCGGGCATTAGTAGAAATCTTTATAGATCTTTATAGTGTAGAATCAAATTCCAAAATTGAAAAAAAAAATGACAAATATGAATAAATGACAACTGTTATTCTTATTAGTAGCAGTCATTTTGGAATTTTACTGATAATATCCACATACTAACGCTTATTTAATATTTTTAAAAACCACAGCTCTTGCGACTATGGATCTCAGGCGTTGATTTCGAAGAAAATAACTGATAATTCGGCTTTTATGGTTAACTACAAATTTACAAGTCGTATACCTACACAAATATAATAATAATCAATAACGCACATACTCACAACCCGCACTAGGGAAAACCACGGGTCACTGGTGCCATGGACACACACATAGACAACCACAAATTACACCCAAACTACACCCAAACTCACGACAGAAACAAATGTAGGCCATACAATTATTTCACCCAGCACGGGAGTCGAACCCGGGACCTCTTCCTGGCAGACCAGGATTGTAACTGTTCGGACACGGAGGTAGTTTGTATTATTATTGCTAGAAACTGTCATATTGTATCTTTTAACACAAATTATATTCTTCTTCTTTTTGCTTAATGGCGCTACCCTTTAGATTTCGCCAGTATCCAGTTTTCCGCTTAGTAATTTTAAGTGCTTCTGTATGCTATTCAGTGAGCTTTGTGAGAACACAATGTGATATAAAAATGCTTTCTCATTAAATTTAAATTTTGGTGCTGCAGACCTGTTGGATTACCTGAAAGGGACAGAAAACAATATATAAAGACAAATGTTAGTAGGTAAGTTAGGCAGGACAAACAAATTATAATCTTATGTTATTGCTGGTCATATAATCTCAAAGGACATTGATGCAAGACGTATCAACATGACTTAAAATCGTATTAAAATATGTGGGTTTGGGAATTAATGAGGGGAGGATATCGTATAAAGAGACGGGGCACTTATTACAGTTGAAAAAATGTGGTCCGAAATTCCTACGTCCAGCCCGCATTCGCAGACAAATTATTTTCAATATTGTACATATGGTTACAGACCAATTGACGGTTGCAATTGACGGCAAAGCTTGTTAACTGTCATAAGTGATTTAGATAAGACAACAATAACACGTTTGTGCAATGTTCATAATTTACCCACTTGATTGTATAGTTTATTTGCTAAGCAGGTAGATTTCCTTATCTAAAGGACTTATTATATCTATTGATCAAATTACAAGAGATTACTTATAGAATCTGTACATAGATGCAACAATATTATACTTACCTAATATTTAATATATGCACCTACAAGTCTTATCTTTTGACGATATATCGTAGTATGTTTTATAGTAAAATAAAAAACCGACCTCAAAAGTCTTTCATCCCCTAGTTTGCCACCCTTAGAGGTGGAATAGTAATTTAGTAGCAGTAGAGCTCCTCGTGAAAGAGCTCGTTCAGGGAAGTACTGCCACCTTATCTATTTCTGCCGCCAAGAGTAATGTCAGCATTACTGTGTTCCGGTTATGAAGGGTATAAGGGTGATGGTGAAATTACAGGCACATGGGACTTGTCAACTTGTGTCTCAGGGTGACGGACGCAGTGGCAGTACGCCTCAGATCTTTGCGATTTAAAGAGCCGAGTGGCCGAGCAACTGTTACGGACAGGCGTCGACGGGACGAACAAGTCGTGCGCCTGATCGTAAGCTAAACCATCAGGAGCACGACTTGTTCGTCCCGTTACTTGATATAATAAAAACCACTATTTAAAGAGGGTACCTACCCTCTTTCCAGCAAAAAAGAATCATGAAAATCTGTTCACAAATGCTTGAGTTATTGCGTAACGTACATACAAAAAAACAGTCGAATTGAGAACTTCCTCTTTTTGAAGACGGAAAAAAATATTTAACTTCAAAAAAAAATTGCATTTTAATTTCGACGAGAGAGTAGTTTTAATTACAAATTATTGTTTTTTAAAATTGAGTTGTAATTATGTGTTACGTCACTCTTATGTTAATGTGTTCCTATGCCTATTTGTCACTATTAACTGTTTGAATTTAAAATAAATACACGGTATTGGTGGAATAAATTGGGATAAAATTTGAAACACAGGAAATCTACACGTAAAAATTGCAATAATATGCAAGTGTTTAGTTATTCTAACTGGACAAAATCCCAACAAAAGCTCGTTTCGAGAATAAAATCGATAATTTTATTAACACGTATTTCCTAGTTAGTCATTTCTGTGGTGTAGAAGGAAATCTCATATGGCATGTTGTACATACAAACTGTTCGATATTTGCTTTTACGGCCCACTGTTTAGATTACTGCCTGCTTGTTGTTTCTAGGGCTGTCTGTCAATCAGTCGATTCCTCATTTACTTAGACTTGAAAGAAAGTGTAATGTTTTTTTTTCAGCTACGTTTTTACATTTGCTTCATGAATTAATTTTGAATTTAATACTTCACATTTATGCTTTACCAAGCAGGTCCATAGTTGTTACTTTTGAGTGATGACCGCATCATCATCATTAACCTATACGACGTCGTACTACTGCTCACAGGTTTCATCTAACACTACCACTGCACACATTTTCCAATCCATGTTTTCCTTCACCGTTAACGAGAGAATTGCTTCTGTACATTCACAAATGTACGTCACTAAGAAAGTGATTAGCACGACAGGGATTCCAACCATATTCCAACCATGGGCCTCCCGATTGAGAAGCAAACGTTCTTCCACAAGTTACCACCGCAGTTAACGATCGAATATATTAAATAATTTATGAACATGAGTTTTACAGTGAACGTTTTACGATGACTCACCCACCTACACCCTCAAAAACTTCATCAATATAGTATAGAGCAGGTTGTAGTCATGGTTCCCAAAACAGAAGTGTCAAGCAACCATTTTTTTTTTTAATAAATAAATAACGCACACACTCAACATAGCCCCGCACTAGGGAAACCCTGTGTCGCGGGTGCCATGGACACACATATAGACAACCACAAATAGAAATAAAAATAAAAATAAAATAAAAATACAAAACCATAGTTGATATATGTATCTTTACATCTTGGTTAGATAGTTGATGCCTTGAAATAATTTTACAGAAAATTGGAATGCAATAACATATTTGTGACATGCTTTTATATGGTCACGGCTAACTGACCATGGGACCTCAAAAGAGTTCATTTGTTTTAAAAAAACATACATACACTATTTTACATTGGAAGAACAGTTTTATTTAATTTTTCAATGTATAGCTATCGCGCAAACCTACGAACTTTACATGATTTGTTGTTTGTTTGATGGACAGTAACAGCGCTTACCGTCAAATTTAATATTAGAATATAATAGTAGGTACGAGGTATCCCGTTTCACTATATGGATTTCAAAAAACCAACTAAGGGCTTTACCGCGCCATATCCAAGTGCTTTCTGTGTAGTTGCCGCATACTACTTTTTCATAGAGAAGTTTTTAGGAGTAGTAGAAGCTCCTTGCGAAAGAGTTCGTTTAGGGAGGCACTGCCACTTTGCCTATTTCTGCCGCCAAGCAATAATGTGAGCACTATGTTCCGGTTTTGAAGCTAAGGGTGCTGGTGAAATTACAGCGACTTTTCAATTTATGTCTCAGGGTGATCGGCGCAGTGGCAGTGTCTCTCAGATCTTTACGATTTAAAGCTCTGATTGGCACTGCAACTGTTATGAACACACATGTAGCTAACCGTCAGGCGCACGACTTATGTTCCGTCACATGATGGTATAAAAAAAATATCCGATAGGTAGAACAGCAGAGAAACAATTACGCAGTTTTTTTTCGAACAGCCACACCAATTGAGTACCTAGTCTCGAACTAGGGAATTCCCTGTGCTATTAGTACCATGGTAACGGAATTCACTCTGAGGCACGACTCAGAACACACAGACCAGAACCAATTTAGAAAACTTCATTTCCCAAATCGGTCCTACTGGGAATCGAACCTGGAACCTCCACACATTACAAACCGCTGGGCCACGAAGTCATCAACAACTACATGGGTTGATTAGTAAACATATTGTTGCAGACGTAAAGTCCCTTTGGCGTCCAGAATATGGAGCCTACATGGTTGAAGGTACGCCTGGCAAACCTTACGGAGGGCTTTTGGCACATTTCAACGTTGTTGAAGCAAATATGCGATATCGCAGGGCTGAAGCCACCAGATTGTTAAATGAAGGCGAAGTCATCATGAGCATTACTAATTTTCCAAGGTAATAATTGTAGATTATGATTTAATTAAAATGACTCAATCTTTTTATTATTTAACTATGACGTATAGGTAAATATGAATCAGTCTTTTCAATACCTAAGCAAACAAGGGTGAGGTCATTTATGACGTCGGTTGGTTTAGAATAGCATTGTAGTAATCTGAAGATGAATTCAAATCAAAACACATGTATTGTATACATACTGACAGTAAATGAACTAAACACGAACAATATTGTGTAATCAAATCAACATGCGGCACTTCAGTCAATAACTAATTGTACTTTATTGATTTATTTACTAATGTGTATAGAATGTACGTTTGTTGGTGATTGTTTTGCTGGCAATCGATCATTGTGAATTCAGAATGATACTTTAAATATTTGTAATTAAAATAAGCAAAGTGATCATTTCATTCGTGTTAAGTATTTTTCTTGGATGTCAAACAGACGTGAAGAATTGGTTTACGTTGCTTTGATAATTGTGTAAAGTCTCACATTGATTTTCCAGCTACCGTCACCTTTCTAGAAAATTAAGTAGAGAAGGCAAGTGATTGGCAATAATTTCAGAATCAACGACCGTTCTATTTAAATTCGCCTATAAATTACTTAACACAATTAACCCGTCATGCGTCCTCTTAACGAACGTATATCCGTAAAGTGTTTTTTTTTCCATTTTGGATGAAAACACAGGTGCGCGATAGAGACACTGTGTGGCTTTAGGGCGCTACGATATCACAATCGTTAGAGAAACAAGTGTGTCTCTAACGAATGTACGTAAAGGTACGGTACAGATAAGGGCGCGTTCCCATTATGTCGTAACGTTTTAGTTATCATTGGACGACTATCGCGTCTAGCCTGTTCTCTTATCACGAATATCTGTCGTGACTGTGTCATGGAGGTTTATTCTATCGATGAACGACTGTCGTGTCTAACTGTTCCCAATAGATCGTGACGACAATTTATCGGTTCACGGTAGCCGCCTTGTCGTTTGCACAACAGAATCGTTTGAAGCTGCGATTATCTGTCGTCATACTTTTATCGACACGTTTTATTTATCTTCAGACAACTGTCGTTCTAGCTGCTGCCATTGTCACGACAGTCTGTCGTCGTAACTTCAAAAAAGTCGTGAACGACAGTTAATCGTATTGTTTTTTGTGTGAAGAACTTCATCTAAATGTACAAGCCACGACACCTTAAACTGCACGACTATCTGTTGTCATGACATAATGGGAACGCGCCCTAAGCGGTTAAAAACTCACCATTTTAAATCAAGAACAAGATAACACAAGCACACGATGATGTTACAGACTTGGCTGTCCGAATTTCACGACACCTCCCTATGCTCCGAATCCAAGAGAGGGCGTAACGCTTTCGCACTACTTCCCCGACGAGGGGATATTCCCTGGACACCCTCGCTTCAAAACTCTCACAGCGAATATCCGCCAAAGGAGGGGCGAAAAGGTTGCTATAAACATACCAAGTATGTTAACACTGTTTATATGTTTTTAAATTGACTTATTTAATTAGAAATAAAAAAAATGCTCGTATTGTATTGTGGTTACTTAGTTGCCTTGAAGCTAAAATGATTATAGCGCGCGCAAAACGCGTGAATATTATGCACATAAAGATCACAAATCGCAATAGAGTAGGTAAATAAGTTTGCGATTTCGAAACAATATCCTTTCGTCTGTGGTTACACAGTACAAACAATTGAAAATTGAATGCTTAAATTAATAACTCAGCAATAAAGATGTATACAATTTTAAAGTCGAAGTTAATGCCGATAACAACGTCGCAGTTACTCGAATTACATTTAACACACACAAAATTTTAACTAGGGAAGTATGTTATCGATTGATGGAAACTTGACCTTTTCACTTGCAGTTACTTCTTTGATAAAGACGATCTGAAATATTTTAATGTATGTCGTGCCATGCATATATTTTAACTTCGACCGTGACGGTAAAATATTGATCCGTATATTTATAGACACCTTTTTTTTTACAAAATTTTAAGTATTCAGAGACACGGAGACAAAAATCCCCGTCGACAACTCGCACCAGCTGGAACCAACGGCTGCTAAGCCTGACTGCGTCTACATGGATGCCATGGGGTTCGGCATGGGCTGCTGCTGCCTGCAACTCACTTTTCAAGCTTGCTGCATCACGGAGGCGCGGACGCTTTATGACCAACTTGCTCCGTTATGCCCAATAATGGTAATTATATAATATTAAAATCTGTTGTAAACATTTCGCATATTTTAAAATCTTAACTGGCTTAAGGCGAATTGGTACCGTGGTTGCATAGTCTTTGAAGCGTTTGCGTTAGACTCAGAGAGTCTTTGCACGATATTTCAACATTTGCTTTCTAGAAATTAATTTAAAATAAGCTCATAGTTTCGATATATATTTAAGGAACATAAGTGAGAAAATTTCATTAAAACATCTCTAATAACAATCGAATGAAACTGATTTTTCCGTAGATGAACGTACTAAAAAAATTAAAATTTGCAATACTTTGTATTTTTGTTAAAACACCTATTTTGGGACTCACTCCATCTAATGCTAAGATCACAGCATTGTTTATTTCAATTGGTTTTCAGTTGGCATTATCAGCCGCTTCACCAGCTTACCGTGGCTTTCTTACGGACGTGGACTGTCGCTGGGATGTGATTTCGGCGTCGGTGGACTGCCGCACGCGGGAGGAGCGCGGCCTTGAGCCACTTAAGAACAACAAATTCCGCATACACAAATCCCGTTATGATTCTATTGACTCGTATCTCTCACCCGAGCATGAAAAGTGAGTTATTTCGAGAGAATTAATACAAATCTGATAATTTTTGTATTAATTCGCGTTGTTTCGTGGACTCGTAGATCGAGTACAGCAAAGTTACTAAGAAATTATAGTCGTGGTGAAAAGCAAATTGGTTAAGAAACAACGTCTTAGAAAATCAATAAAAAAATTATCCGACTTGCCTTTGTTCATGTTAATTATTATTATTTTATTAGCTAATTTGAATTTTAATTATTTTATTAATTGTAAATTTTTACTTTCGACTAAATTACTTTTATATTATGTATTTTGAATATTTTGACATCTCGATTTTGAAAATTTTAATGTACATTTCATATACAATACACCATAAATTCACCATACAGTCAGTTGTTACTAATGTAGTATAAGGTTGCTTACTAACAAGCTATAATAGTATAAAAATATGTGATTTTTTTTGGAAATTCTAAAAACAAAAGAGATTTTTAAGCCTGTTGTATTATTATAATCTGAACACGCACAAATATGAACACTGTATAAACTTTTATTTTAATAATAAAATACACGTTCTTCTTTAGATACAACGACATCAACATAGTGCACGACGAGGCAATTTACAAGAAGCTGCGCGAGGGTGGCATAGACCATCCTCTCTCTGTGCACGTCGCGCATCTCTTCATTCGAGATACTGTATCGCTCTTTTCTGAGAAAGTTAACCAGGACGACAAGAATGATACTGATCATTTTGAGGTCAGTTTATTTTTATTATTACTAATATACTCGTAGCCACTCAATAATGCAACACGTTTCATTATCTTAGTCTTTCTTTTAGTCTAAAAACGAATCAAATTTTATGATTTGTTTTGCCCATCGGTAACTTGGAATTTTTCTGTTCTTTCGTATTAATTAGCTTATAATTATATATTATTCTCTCAGAACATTCAATCGACGAACTGGCAGACCATGCGTTTCAAGCCGCCGCCGCCGAACTCCCCAATTGGCTGGCGCGTGGAGTTCAGGCCGTGCGAAGCGCAGCTGACTGATTTCGAGAACGCTGCTTACGTTTGCTTCGTGGTGTTGCTCACGCGTGTCATTCTGTCGTATCACCTTAATTTAGTTATACCTATTAGCAAGGTAGGATTATGTCACTTACGATATCAAGTTAACATTTTTGTTTACTCACCAAAATTGTTTTTAATGAATGTCAAGTGACAAGACGAACTAGTCGTCCTGTCACTTGACCCTGAGACATAAGTTCACAATGCACTAGTGCCTGTAATGTCATCAAATTTGTGCAGACAAGTCACAGGAAATGTTGGATGGACGGTTTCGTAACTCAGAAGCGTACTCCATATCAAATATCACGGTTTACACTTAGTCAGATGTTCAATAGCCCTTCCTGCTGGCTTTACTAGCTGAAATACTTCGCTTATGTAGGTGGATGAGAACATGCAGCGCGCGCAACGTCGCGGCGCCGTACTGACGGAGCGGTTCTGGTGGCGACGCGATATCGGCGCGCCCAAAGACGTCGCACCAGATGCATCTAACGCACCCGACCAATACGCCGAGATGACCATCGATGAAATTGTTAACGGGAAAGTAAGAAACAAACCTTTTAGACAATTTGAACTATTGATTTGGAAGTTTTTTTATTATGATACCAAGTGTGTCGGGACGAACAAGTCGTCGTCGCCTTATGGTAAGTGACACGCCTGTCCATAAAAGCTGCAGTGCCACTTAGAGCTTTAAATCACAAAGATCTGATGGCAACTGCCACTGCGCCCATCACCCCGAGATATAAGTTGACAAGTCCCTGTTTGTAATTTCACCAGCACCCTTACCCTTCAAAACCGTAACGCAGTAATGCTCACATTACGGCGGCAGAAATAGGTAAGGTGGCAGTAATTCCCTGGACGAATTCTCAAAGGAGCTCTACTGGTTTTAAAAATAACGAAATAATAACAGTGGGCTACTATAGCAGCTATATTATTGCGTACGGAGTCAATGCACTATGACTATTTAGTTACCTATACTTCTAAACACGGTTGGTTGACATTTTGGTCCGATCGTGCACTCACATTTGAAGCGAGCGAGCTTAAACTCTTGAGGCCCCGTGTACATCAAAATGTACAAGTGATTCAAACCTAGACAATTATTCTTATGATCACGTAAATACCTAGCGTACATTATAATGAAAATATTGCATTCAAATTTAGCGCCTGTATATCCCACATGACCATAGAGTATATAGAAAAATACGTTTTTCGTACAAAACTGAGGGCATACTTGCTTACGGGTCCGAAACATATAATTTTATTTAGTACATTGACCGTAAAACGCTTTTCCCGTTGTAGTTTTGCTGAATCTAAGGAATTTCAAATATTTTTCATCACACTTGCTCGTAAATCATAATTGCATGGTGGCTAACTTGACTATTGGGGCATTCCCACATAAAACCCATGGGACTTTTTCTTTCCATCACAGCCATGATCGGTAAGGTGTTTTTTTTTATTTGTAGCTTCCTTACATAGATCAGGTGCAAGTTCGGGCAAGGAAGTTATGTAAGTTCAAAATTAAAACATTGCTACTTAAATACTTATTATTAAGAATTTCTTATAATTTTATTTTTTTTTAACAATCAATCATGGCTGTATTGTTTGCTATTTACAATATTTTAGTTCCAGTTGTCTTATCTATGAAAGAATTAAAAAAAACAACACAAATCGCGTTCATTTGCCAAATCCATAATTGTTGTGGTTGTGTACCATATACATATATATTGTATTTATTTCCTTGCAAATGTGATAAAAACATTGTATGTATCACAAACAACAAAAAATACAAAACTCGAGTTATTAAAGCTCTCAGCCTTTGGCTTCGGGCTTCTAATAGACTCTCTCAGAAGCCCGAAGCGGAGAAGGATCTATTACTTGTAATAGACCATCCCTTAGGGAGATAAGTAATTACTAATAATTGGTTATTTGCCGTCCTTAAGACACAGTTACCGTTGCTATTGTAGAGCTACTAGACCCATTAGTTTGTTCCTACCTCAAAAAACAACATTTGCAATGGCAAGATTAAAATAACATTGTTTCTACTATTTTACTGTTTAGAAAGGCATATTCCCCGGGTTAATCCCACTAATCGAGTCGTACCTGTCGGGCATGGATGTGGACGCCGATACGCATTGCTCGGTGCAGCAGTACCTCAAGCTGATTCAACGACGCGCCTCGGGCGAGATCTCCACCATGGCCGATTGGATGCGCAAGTTTATTACTACACACCCGCAGTACAAGTAAGTCTTTGTCCACCAGATAAAGCACCATCCATTAATAACAATATGCCAAACAACTATACTAATTATATTTATAGAGATGTTTTGTTGAGAGGCTGTGGTGAGAAGGTTATTCAAAAATCTCTCACTAGATGTCACTAGCAAAAGTCAGTACTAAAGATCTTACCAATAGACACGTAAGCGAATTTCGACAACTCGGTAACTGGACCAGTGGCTGAGATGGTTAGAGCAATGCTACGGTGCAGCATGGACATGGGTTCAAGTCCCACCGGGGTGACGAAAACTTTTCTGCGTGTTCGATCTTTGTATTCATAATCACGCTGTTTCTCTCTCATCTGCGCGTTGTCCCGGTTGCGTTCTCAGCAGTATTGCTGCGGAGCCCGGGGTCAGCTTTCCTGCTTTTTCTCCTCCACTTTGCGCGGTCTTCGGCATCCTTAGTGGTGAGACCATTGGCACGCATATCACCCTTGGCGACGTCAAGCCAGCACTTCTTGGGTCTGCCCCTTCTACCGGGGCCCGGCGGAGGTGGCATAGCCAGACATTTGTTTCCCACGTAGCATGCCGGTTTCCGTAAGATGAGGCCGTACCAACGTAGGCGGCTTTCTTGCAGTTTATCTGCAATGTCACGGACGTGAAGGCTGCCTCGGATGCGGGAGTTTCTGACACGGTCTTTCCGTGAAACTCCACACATCCAGCGCAGCATCTTCATTTCCGTGACACGCAGCTCCTGCTTATGGCGCTCAAGTACGGGCCACGTTTCACTGCCATATAAAAGGACAGGCCTAATGATGGATTTATAGACCTGTCCTTTCAGCTTAACTCTTGGGGTCACAAATGACACCAGTCACCTCACGCCACTTTGCCCAAGCGGCTGCGATTCGGGCTCTGACGTCGCAATCGATGTCTCCGGACGCGCTAAGTACAGATCCCAAGTATTTAAACTCGCTCGTAGGCTCGACCGCGTCTTCGCCTATGCGAACGGGTAGGGGATCTGTTTGAGTTGCAGACCATGTACTCATAATAAATTAAATTAAAAAAAATAAATAAGAATTTGTATTCATAATCACAACTACACCAATTACCTGGTCTCGTTGCCACGTTAAGGCCACAGACATTGGTTCGAGTCCAGTCGGATCGAAAGAAATTTTCTATGTGTTTGTTAGTAATAATTTGCATGTAATAATAACAACTTGGAAAAGTTTATTTCCAAATTGGTCCTACCGGGAATCTAACCCAAAACCTCTTTAATCTATAATAGAAACTGTATTGTTTTAATTAGATATGAGCGCCGATAATAGACCAACCGGCGGCGGCGCGCCGACGAAAAAGTGTCGGCGGCGGCGGCGTTTCGGCGGGGCGAGCGCGACCCTAAAACGAATTTGTATAACTGTGTTTGTTTTTACAAAACCGTTATACAAATACTTTTTCAAAGGAAAAAATAAAATAACGTATTTTGATAGTAATCATTTTTTTATCAATTCTTAAAGTACGCACGCGCACGCTTCCGTATTGAGTACGCGTAGCGAAAATGGCGACGCCAGAAATTGACAAATTAATTTTTTCAACAAAACATCTTTAATCAAAACATCTATGCTAAGACCGGACGGCACGCTGGTCTATACTGCAGAAGACAAGGCAAATCTTTTTTTGCCTCACGCTTTGCAAAGAGTTCGCGTCTGGATCTCATCTTACCTCAGGCTGGCTGCACTACGAGTATGGCGCCAATTTGCATACGCCAAAAAGAGGTACTTGAACTCTGCGTAATCTAAACGTGAATAAAGCTAGCGGGCCAGATGGAATTCCAGCACTAGTCCTACGTAACTGTGTACCAGAGTTGTCTCCTGTTCTCACACGCCTACGCCTGTACCGCCTCTCACTTGAAACTGGTGTAGTTCTCAGGTTGTAGAAGCAATACTCTGCAAGACTATGGAACGTGTACTCAACAGCCGTCTCCTGTCGTACCTTGAAGACAACGACCTCCTCAGTGATCGCCAGTACGGATTCCGACGAGGGCGATCAACTGGGGATCTTCTTGTGTATGCCTGTCACATACTGAGCAAAGCTATAGAACAGCAAGGTGAAGCTTGCAGTGTCCTTGGATATTTCTAAAGCCTTTGACAGGGTCTGGCACGCAAACCTTTTAAGTAAGCTTCCCTCTTACGGGCTTCCCACTGACCTTTGCAATTGGATCTCGGATTTCTTGAGCGAACGTTCGATTCGAGTGGCTACTGGAGAAGGCTACTCTTCCGAACATATGGCGAGAGATGACGGAGTTCCTCAGGGTTCCGTACTATCTGCAACACTTTCTGCTGCATATCAGTGATATGTTAATTCCAGGTACCTTTGCGTATGCTGATGACAACACAGTTGTAGATAGGTACTTGACCAATGCAAGGGTCAGTGGAGAGGAAATCCAGTCTTGGCGAAGGTCCATGGTTAGCCATTTGGATTTGACACGCAAGGCAGTCTCCGATTGGGGCGATGCCAGTCTTTTCAAATTTAACGCCACCAAAACGCAGGTATGTCTATTTTCCACAAAACGGAGTCCCTTTGAGCTGACTCCGACTTTTCGTGATATATCCATACCGATAGCCGACTGTCTCCAGCTACTTGGAATGGACCTGTCGTCCAATTTGTACTTCGGCCCATACATTGAATCCATGGCCAAACATACAGCAAGGAAGCTTGGGATCCTTTCCAGGGTGAGGCGTTACTTCACATCGGGACAGATGCTTCAGCTGTACCAAGTACAAGTCCGGTCATGCATACTGTAGTGTAGAGTACTGCTGCCACTTATGGGATGGCTCTGCTACATACCAACTGGCCACCTTGGATTCAATTGACAACCGTGCCAAGAAGCCTATAGGTCACTCGGAATTAGTGGAGGCGAAGCTGCAGAGCCTTGAACACCGCCGTAAAGTAGTCAGCTTATCGGTATTTTACAGGATATGTCACGGATAGTGTACAATGGAATTACACGATTTAATTCCATTGATTCCGCTTTCCCCTTTCCATCATCGGGGGACTAGGCGTAGGCTTGGGTTCCACCTCTATGTTGTGGATATTCCAAAGATTCACATTTATGTGGCGAACGGCTATGCAGTGGAATTCCCTGCCTGCAGACTTGTATATAACTTGGCGTTAAATTTCAAGGCGAAAGTGAATAGGCATTACTTAGGTGTGCATGCTCCATCGTCGATCCCATCATCACTTTCCATCAGGGGAGATGGAGGTTAAATGTTAACAGACATTTTATATAAAAAAAGTTTTATCTTAGAAAAGTCAAAGTAAAGTCATAGTCAATAATCATTTATTCCATAGGTATAATTTGTACACTTGAAAACGTCATTTTTTTTTTGTTCACTACGCTGACCTCCCCGAGAAGAACGAGCAAAAAACTCTTCTCAAAGGATTTTGAGGATTGCTCTTTTCAAATAAACTTAAATGCTATGTAATAATCTTTGAATCAAAATTGTGTGGAATCTAGACTCTTGTTGTCTTTCTATACTTCTTTATCTAAAACATACTCTTCAATTTTGTAATATGACTTTTCAACTAAAATACTTTTAATGTAAGTTTTAAACTTAGGAAATTATAATCTTAATATATTCTCCGAAATCTTTTTATAAAAACTTATATAGTTCCCCATAAAAGAATCGTTTACCTTAGTTAAACGAAATCGGGGTACCATGACTTTGAACCTTAGTTCTAAGGTTAATATTATGAACATCTTCTTTCTTTATGTGTATTTTTACGGGCATACAAAATATTTGAGTAAATGTACTGCGATGCCACGTCAATCATGATACCAGTCTCTCAGTACACAGAACGAATCGCTCGTTTTTGCAACACAAATATGGTTTGTATATCTGCCGCTTTACCCCACATGAGAATCCCGTAGGACATTATAGTACGGAAGTAACTAAAGTAAACTAGTCTAGCAGTGGCAACATCGGTAAGCTCACGTATTCTACGGACTGCGTATGCAGCAGAACTTAATCTGCTGGCTAAGGAAGATATATGTGGAAACCATTGAAGTTTACAAAGTCTAACTTTTCTCCATTTATTTCTATGATTGGACTAGTCGATTTTACATTAGGTAATTCAAATTTAACACACTTTGTCTTCTTGGCATTGAGCAATAAATTGTTAACATTAAACCAATAGGCTACCTTTGAAAGGGTATCGTTAATATTATCATAGTTAATGTGATGTCTGTCTCTTTTAAAAATCAAGGATGTTTCGTAAGCAAACAATACTAAGTCGCAAAGGTCCTTAACAAAGAATGATAGATCATTAATATACATGAAAAATAAGAACGGTCCAAGTATTGAGCTCCGCGGAACCCAAGGAAGTCACTCCATTTATGTCTACTTTCTGAATTCTATCGTTAAGATAGACGAGACAAGTTCCAACGCCTTGCCATTTACTCCGTAATATTCTAGCTTTCTAATAAGAGTAATATGGTCCACACAATCAAATGCTTTTGAGAGGTCACAGAAAACCCCAATAGCGTTCTGGGACGTTTCCCAAGCATCAAATATATGTTTTGGTAGCGCTACCCCTGCATCGCTAGTCGATATACCACTAGTAAACCCATATCGTTCACTGTGAAGAATGTGATCCCTACCGAAATAAGACAGTAATTGAGTCAACATAACCTTTTCGAATATTTTATTTTAAGCTGGTAGAATTGAAATATGCCTCGGGAAGAGTGGGGTGAATACGGACGCGGGGTAATTTCAGACGCAATCGTTTCTAGAGGACTATTTTTTTCCCCGCGCCCCGCTATCGCGATCTTTCGATCACATCCACCATCGTAAGTGTGAAAAGTTGTCAAGGAGAGCCGCACACGCTTTTCAAAGTAAGTACCAAAGACTTTTTTCATGTGTTTTGTTGCAATTTTACTTCATTTTTAGTGTCGTGTATACGCTGTTATGTGAGAATTAATGATGTGTTACGTTTGTCATAAATATTTATAAGATACATCCTCGAAACTGTAAGAATATGAAAATCGTACGTGCTAGCATAACATCTGAAATATTATGTATTTAAATAAATTACGATTGGGGCAATTACAGACTTGGGACTTGGGGCAAATCCAGACGTCTGTAATAACCCTAATTAAGGTTTTAAATAATTAATCTTAAGGAGACCGATACGCTTTCATACAATCTTAGGCCAAGTTGTAGGAAGATGAAAGTGGTATCAATTAATAACTTATATTATATTGTCATACGATCACTGCCCGTATTTACCCGACATGCACCGGGTAATTACGGACAGAAAGCCTTTCGTTTTTCTTTAAAATTGTATATTTCTTGATTATTTAAAGATAAAAGATTAATGTAATTTTGTAAGGTTATAATCAAAGTTTAATTATAATAAAAAAAATACTGAGTAATGCTAATATATTTTTATTTCGATATTCGCTTAAGTGTCCGCAATTCCCCTCTCTCCCCTATAGTTGCTAGGATCAACTTTCCTACCGCTTTTGAATAAATTAATAACCTTGCTGTATTTCATCAAATCGGGAAAAATACCTTCGTCATCGCACCTATTGAATGCATTAGCTAAATGTGGAGAAATTAGATATATTACTGAGTCTATAACTTTAGTCGATATGCCCCAGAGATCTTCAGTTGTTTTAACATGTGTAGATTTAAAAGCTTTGATGATGTTTTGCGAATTAACATGATGACTGCCACAAACATTAACATTTTTCTTTAGGAGATCAATAGCAAGAGAAGGAGAGGAATTTAATGATTCTGCAGTGTTTACGGCGCGGCGATTTCCGAAAAGACCGATTAAAAAGCTTGAGCTACCTCATCTTTAGATTTTATAAGTTTGCCGTCGAATTCTAAAACTATGTCTCTATCATGTTGTTTAACCCTGCCTGACTCTTTATTTATTTTACTCCAAGTAGTTTACTATTTTTCAATTATCTAATTTTATGATAATATTATTAGCAGCAATAATATTAGCAGCTACACATACTTTTTTAAATATTTTGGAATAATTTTTAACATATTCTATAAAACTGGAATTCGTATTATAAGTTTTCATAGCATATAGCTCATACAAACGTCATTTTCTGGCATCGCCATTTTCACATACACAATACGGAAGCGTGCGCATGCGTACGATCGGAGCGCCTGTTCGAACTCAACGGCGCGTTGAAGCTCCATTTGTACATCGTACAATTTTATAACAATGTATTTTTCCTTTGCCCTCATAGAAAAGATTCTGTGGTATCCGAGAAGATAAATTACGACTTACTGAAGACAGCGTACGATATTCAAACCGGCAAGATCGCGGCACCGACCTTGCTCGGCACGAGCTCCGTTTCCAAGACCAACGAAGACATCCCAAAAGCCTTCACCAAGATGATGACTAAAGACTGCCCGTAACCATGGCAATGCCACTCAGCCTTGAACGTCTCGTTCTGGGGTAGGTAGACGATAGCTAGGATGCCAAGATAAGCTGTTCAATTTAGTTAAATTAAAACACACACCACACGTACAAAAGTGATACTTAATAGGTTACATAGTTACCGATAAATCTTCGTGTTACCAATAAATCTTAGTGCTGTGATTGATTGTATGTGGCTAGTGTGTGGTTAGTTTGTTGTACATCGTCCAGTCATTGTAAATCAAGGTTTATAATGACACTCAAATGGCATAGCATTTAAAGTTAAGCATTTTGCAAATGTAGAGAAAAACACTTAGCGGAGTATTGTGCTATTTACTACATATTGTCAACTGTACATTAGTGAGTTCCAAGTGTAGAATACTCGTTTATAAACTTTTGATTGCAACCCTATCTACCTACCCTGGAGTAATGTAGTGCCTTCTCTGTTGCAGATGATTTTGCTAGAGTTGTTACTATCGTTGCCTTACATACTATTGTAATGACAAGATTTTTTATAAACATCCGTGTAATAGCTTATTGGAAAACTACGTGCGTGGATTTGTAGGCGACAGTTATTGTAACGGTGCTACTTAGGACGCAAATGTAGGATATAAGGTTATTGAATATAGTAAGCGGTAAACAACGATGGGCTGTTTCTTAGATTTAGGTGTAGTGAATAAACATTGAACATCAGCAAGACTCTGAAATCACGAATATTTCCGAACAGTGTCGCTGCGTCTATAGGTATTAATGTTAATTTACAATATTATTTCCAGTGGAATTATTTTGCTGAACCCAGTAAACCATATTTTGTAGGGCTGTAAATGGTGCAATGTTTTGTAGTGTCTATTGTGTGTACTTGTGTAGTAAGTGACATTATAACTCTCAAGTAAACTCACCCATTAATGTACACCTACACGTGACTAATTATTCTTTCTGTGATTCAAATTTGCAAGATTACACTACATTACAAGATTATTGACTTAGCAATATTGTTCGTTGATGCTTAGTAGTGTTAAAAATACCCTTTGCTTAAAAAATATTTAACTTTTATTTCTGAGAGGTGGGAACCTGGTGGCCTGACGCACAATCATTTTTATTAGGTTAGGCATCAGTCTTTCACTAAATTATACTCACTAAAACTCGACATGTTAACTATTCCTAGCTGTAATATGTATTTTGCAGAGGAAAATAAACTGTATTAATCAGTGTCGTTGCCAATGACATTAATAAAGTTTGGTATTTAATTATTGTAAACACATCAGTCATTAACCCGTTCATGGACAGCATCGGCGTTTACCGTAAAATGAGTTTTATTTATATTGTTGCGGGCGTTTATCGGAACGTTGTTGATACTTCTCCAGGGAGAATCAGTACGCGGAAACTACACAGATAGTACTTGGAAATCGCATTGTAAAAATGTTTGAGATCCACATGGCGAAACAGGGCACCCCTTATACCATCATATTTAATATTACGGTAAACTCCGATACTGTCTATATAACCTGTGGACCTGGGCGGTAAAAGCGTACAGAAATGCTCGTGGTGCCCCAATTTTTCCGATGTTCAATGTTTATTTGTCACATCTGTACTTATTATGCCGTCAACAAATTCACGCACGTAACGCTCATTTTGTTTATCTAACAAGTTTTTGTAGTGTTAGTTTGCACTTTGATAGAATGATTAGTGAAGGATTCAAAATGTTGGGATTTTGTTGACGAAGTTACACAATTGTAACACGCGTAAAAAAATTAAAGAATTTCTTGTTTTTATTTTTTTTAAATGTATATATTTTCTTGATTAAAGAATTCATTCGTTCCTTTATCCTAAATATTGATCATATTGATAATTGATTGTTTCGGTACGTAGCACTACAAGCATTTAGGACAGTATTAAATGTAACATTCTCACGAAGTAGTTTCAGAATGAAAGTCTGTCAGAGGTATGGTTGTGATTTATTGGATGGAGTTAATAGGTTTATAACTGTGTAGCATTCCTCGCCGCTGTGGCTCATTATTGTATCCAATTTATTATTTGGATTTTTGAAATATTCAAATTAAAAGTGTAGTTATGTATCCGAATTATTAATAGATCATAGTGTTTCGATTTTAAGCCAGATTTCGTGATTTAAACTGTAGACTAAAAAACACAAGACATAAATCGGTTTTGAAAATTTTTTATCTTATTTTCTTTATAAAAGGCCTCAATATACACTTCATTTTGCCTGATTTTAAAAACAATATGCTTTAATATTTAATACTTATTATTTTAAAATATAATTACGTAAAGGGATGATGGTTATGTAACATTAGAGGTCGTTAGAAGATAAACCAGTGATGACTACAAAGCTCAATTTACATTGCCGCGGAAAGTAATGGATGCTAATTTTTAGAACGAAATTGTACATAGCTTGATGAACCTTACGTCAATTGAGCCTTACGTAACGCATAAACTAAACACGTTACGGTAGTTATGGAAATTCCCAAGACTGCGCGAGAATTCTCCGCAAGACGCGCGACCTGCTCTTAACACTTAGTTTTCTTAAAATTTGAAAAATGTAAACTATGGTTCTTCATTGATCGTAAACCTTTTTCTTCAGACAACAAATTACAGTAAACGAAAAACATCGTGAGAGTTGATGACAAGTGACTTTCACAAATAACTCGATATGCTACTATTTTATAAAAGTTTCCATCAACGTTTGGAACCTTGTTTCTATAAGTTTTTTTATAGAGCAAGTGTTTGACATAGATTGTTTGTGAGATAAAAGAAGAAATTTATATTTAGTGAATGCTACGAGTAAGAAAAACCGAATTCATACATAAATGTAGTATGTTTGAGAGTTTTGTTTTAGGATATTTCATAAATTGCTTTGCTCACAAAATGACAGAACGAAATGGCGTCCTAAAAAATATCCATTTGTCTAATGTTAAAAAAAGGAAGTATAGTTGTGTACAATTGCAAAGGTTCATTAAGAATTGGTTACAATAATTCAATTCTGTTTCGTATCGCGGCAATGTAAATTGAGCCTAATTATATAGTAACTATCCTATTTTGGTCTCCAAAATGTAATAAGCACAAACTATATCTATTGTTTATTTTTATTAATTTGGTGAACCTTAAACGGGTTTAATTAAATTTTCTTTTATTACATTACGAAACAACGATATGTATTAAATTGTTTATGTTGATTTATTGTTATTATTATTTTATTTAGTACAACATTATTATTATATTATATACAAATATGCAATAAAGTTATTTAATTGTTAACAGACGTTTCTATTACTTGTTAAAACACCTGAGGTATTTTGGACGGAACTTGAGGGATCCTAGGAACATATTTCGCAACTATCTAAAAAAAGAACAACTTTGTATGACCAATTCATTTTATTAAACTAGAGCAGCTAATATTTAGAACTTGTCTACAAGTTGTAGTATGTGCTGTTGTTCCTGCTGCCGCCATTCTTCACTACCCGCATCTCCGAGGTTGCCCGCGTATTCTGTAGAACACAAACGATGAGTTAATACTTAGCACGATGAAGAAAGTACAGGCCTAATATTAATAATTCTTAAGATATTACGAGTGAACAGAGTTGTCTTGTCGCTAATTAAATATAGTATTAGTTTTGTAATATAAGGGCAATTTTCAAACATTTTCTTGTTCAATGCATAAATTATAAATAAAAACTATCAAATTATGGCGTCATACTCCGGGGCAGAACCACCTAAAGTTTGATAAATTATGCTAAGTAAACGTGTTAAATGTTGAAAGCAAATAAGATCACACATCACAATGTACTTGCTTAACTATCAATAATAATATAATAATAATAATAATATGTGCTAGACAATTAACCTGTACTATAAGTACCAGAGCAACGGAATTCAATCTGGGGCACTTTCCAGAACACCCGAACCAGAACCAATTTAGAAAAGTTAGTTTCCCACATTGGTCCTACCAGGAATCAAATCCAGGACTCCCGCATCCAGCGCTCACAATGTAAACCGTTAGGCTACTGAGTTCGAGGCAATTGATGTGGTTTTTTGGCAAAAAAAGTAAGTATTCGAGTATATTACTACACCTGAATATTAAGTAATATTAGGGGTTAAAGTATGAAATTGCCGTTTTATTGCAATAGGTTCTTTGAATTTTCATAGAATCTTCATGGTTTGAGGTTTTCGAATGAAACTTTTTTCAAATGGTTTCTGTGATTTTTTTTTTTTTAAATTTGAAACATTTGAATATCGACTTTCAATTGTTTTTGTTATTCAATTTAGACAAGAAAGATGGATACTGCGAAAATTCGAGTGATTTTTAAATACGAGTTCCAACGCGGAACTAACGCGGCAGAAACAGCCCGCAATATCAATGCTGCGTTTGGAGAGGGGTCTACTAATGAACGCACCGTGCGATTTTGGTTTAAACGCTTTCGTGATGGAAATTTCGACTTAAAGAACGAGCCACGAGGAAGACCGCCCACACAGGTGAATAACGATGAATTAAGAGAGATAGTGGAAGCCGATCCTAGTCAAACTACCCAGGAATTAGCTGCATGGTTTAACGTTACCTTACCCACAATATTGACTCACTTGCGTCAAATCAATAAAATAAAAAAATACGAAAAATGGGTGCCTCATGATTTGACTGATCTGCAGAAAGAAACGCGTGTTGAAACTTGTGTTGCCTTGTTGAACCGGTACAGAAATGAAGGAATATTGGATCGAATTGTAACATGTGATGAAAAGTGGATTCTTTATGATAACCGGAAAAGAAAAATGCAATGGCTGACCCCAGGTCAAATGCCACAACAGTGTCCTAAAGCAAAACTTACCAATAAAAAGGTAATGGTAACTGTTTGGTGGTCTCAGCATGGTGTTATTCACTATAGTTTTCTCCGATCTGGTCAAGCAATAACGGCAGATGTCTATTGTGCCGAACTCCGAACCATGTTGACAAAACTAGCAGTAAAACAGCCCCGACTCATGAATCGATCTTCACCATTATTGCTCCACGACAACGCGAGACCTCACAAAGCACGAGAAACCATTTTGACCCTTCAGGAACTGCAGTTAGAAACCATTCGTCATCCTCCGTATTCACCAGACCTTGCTCCAACGGACTACCATTTTTTTCGTGATTTGGACAATTATCTACGTGACAAGAAGTTTTCTTCCCAGGAGGCAGTACAAAATGCTTTCACACAGTCTGTGCAGTCTAGATCGTCGGAGTTCTATCGCAAAGGCATTAATAACCTTCCCATTAGATGGCAGCAATGTATAGATAATAATGGCAACTATTTTGATTAAATAAATTTGTTAAAAATTTAAAAAATAAACAATTTAGATTTTTAGTACAAATCGGCAATTTCATACTTTAACCCCTATTATTTCATGATAATATTGTATATAAAAATTTCTACCGAAATTAGGTAATGTTACCCTTGAGCTTTAAGAAATTTAATCTGTTGTACCTAAGAGTAGGGAACAAGCGCCGCATTTTAGGCTTCATAACTTCTGAAGGTGAGATATTAGGAGTCTGCTGGGAGTAATAATAAAGGTGTCACTGGTTGGAGTGGTTGGTAGGCACTACAGTTGGTAAGTTTACATAATATTTATTGATAACTTAGATACAATATTTGCTGTCTAAATGGTATGTGTGTGTAGGCTCATAGAGATCAAGGGATCCCATTAATTCAAATCCAAAGAATCGGTCTAGGTCATATTAGAACAATATGATAGTAAGCTCTATGAAGCAGAATGAATTTGGAAGAGGTGTGTGAGAAGGATGGATACTCTATTAACGGCTGTTATGATAGAAAAGAATGTCGCATTTTAATTTTCATTATGAAAGAACCTTCGGCGTAGAGACAAGTGTTGTTACGTTGCGTGGCACATGGAAAAGTTAGTTCTTGTATTTTTACTAGCCCGAACATTGCTGTAGAAGCTATAGAATATCGAACACGAATGTCGTTAAGTTGTATATTGGAACGCGACACAATGTTCATTTTCGATAATCTATTTTTTTTAACGCACACGCTCATAGCTCCGTAGTGGGGAACCCGGGTGCCATGGGCACACACATACACAACCACAAATTACACCCAAACTCACGAGAGAAATAAATGCAGGCCATGCAAATATTTCTATCGGCCCATGATAATATAATAATAAGTAAGTTATCAAAACGGCTAGGCTCTGCAGTGTACGCGATTAAAAAAATAAGGAAACTTTCAGACGTCGAAACCGCTAGATTGGTTTACTTCAGCTACTTTCACAGTCTAATGACATACGGCATTTTGCTTTGGGGTAATGCCGCCGATATCAATAGAATCTTTGTCCTGCAGAAACGTGCAGTTAGGGCAATTTACAATCTAGGCCCCAAAGTATCTTTGAGAGATAAGTTTAAGGAAATTAACATTCTTACACTAGCCTCACAGTACATTTATGAAAATGTAATTTATGTTAAAAGGAATAGCAATTTATTTATGAAAAATAGTGACAGACATAACATTAATACGAGGAATAGAAATAAACTAGCTTTTCTTGATAGTCGTCTTCACAAAGTCAAAAAATCATTTAAGGGGCAATGTATACGCTACTATAACAAGATTCCGGTTGATATACAAAATTTGCCTTTCACGAGGTTTAAAACTATAGTGAAACAAAAACTTTATACTAAAGGTTATTATACAACTTCTGCGTACTTGGATGACAAAAATCCGTGGTAGTAAGCCGTTTAGCTCATGGAGGTAGTCTCGATCTCTGATGTTTCAAATAAAAAAAAAATATTGTAAATGTTATTTACAAAGAGCAACCCCTAGAGTTTCTTGCTCATTCTTCTCAGGGGAATCTGCCTTACGAATGAGCGGTAGAGTTTAACTATTGTGACGATTTCAAGTGTAATAATGCTTACCTATGAAATAAAGATTATTTTGAATTTGAATTTGAATGAATCGAACCCGGGACCTCTGCGTGGCAGACCAGCATGGTAACCTTTCGGCCACAGAGACAGTTAAAATATTGGTGTGTTTATGCACATACTTAAGGCTCAATTTACATTGCCACGGAATGGAAGAATTTCGTAAGCAGTTACGTAACGTACAAATTAAGTGTTTAGAAGTAGTTGCGATACTTTTTTTTTTTAGCTCGCATCTATTATTTCCATTTCGCGGCAATGTAAATTGAACTTTAAATAACAAACCTCTCATGACGTGTCTGATAATTTTCAAAGACCCGCCGCGTAGTGACAGAACCCGTTGTACGCGTTGCTTTATCGCAGGTGGACCCGCAGTGCAGACCTGGGTGCCAAATTACGTTACAAGGTTTATTTTGTAGTACAGTAATAGTATTTATAGCAACACATAATTTACTCGACTCACTTCCAAAATAATTCTATCGATAAGTTGCAGCGTGAAGAGACCACCCGAAAGTCTTCTGAGATACTGGGCGTCATCATCTAAATCTTCTGATTCTTGCTGAAACAGAGAGGTTTTTTTATAATAATATCAAGTGACAGGACGAACAAATCGTGCACCTGGTATTAAGTAACATGCTTGTCCATAACCGTTGCAGTGCCACTCAGAGCTTTAAACCGCTAAGATCTCAGGTGTACACCAACTGCGCCCTTCACTCAGACAAACTTTACAAGATTCACGTGCCTGTAATTTCACCAGCACCCCAGCCCTTCAAAACCGGAACGTAGTAATGCTTACATTATAGCTTGGCGGCAGAAATAGGTAAAGTGGCAGTACTTCCCTAGACGAACTCTTTCACATGAAACTCTACTGCTACTAAATTTAAAATGTTTAAATAGTTGTCATTGCAAAGGTGCTCGTGGGTTAATATTTTAACAGTGGATATGTCTGTTACATCCACGTCGTCTGTATCACCGATATACAACAAACTCATTAGGCGTGTATACAAAGTACATTCATGGCTGTGTCGAAAGTGTGTCCATACTAAGCATTACAACAGAGTGCACATTTTTTTTATGATACCACGTGACGAGACGAACAAGTCGAGTGCCTGGTGGTAAACAACACGCCTGTCCATAGTAGTTGCAGCGGATAACACAAAAGTAACGAGAACGAACACTCTCTGCTCCTCCCTAGCTTTAGATACCGCACCACGCCCCGCACATTGACTGAACGGGAACAAGGCTACCGGCGAGCCTTTTTCCCCGCTTTGATATTTGAATATAGTTTTCATTTATACATTTATTTACGAAACTTGTACGTTAATATATAACATCATTTTAAGTTACTATTTATAATGATCGTGAATTGTGCTAGGTACGATGTAAGTAAAAAAAACTTATGTCTGAGACTCATTCAGTTATAGTTTTCTTCATTTATTTAGTGCAAGAGTAATATTTGTATAAAAAATATAGATTTATTATACATAGGGTGCACTATAAGTTTCCGGAACTGGCCACTTACATAAACAATATTTAAAAAGTAATTATAACATTTGAAAATGGAACTCTGGCTGTAGAACACAGTTTGTTTCCTCTGACTGTCACTTGTTTTTACATTGTGGCGTCATTTTAGAAATTGGTTGTCTATATCACCATGGATTTAACTCGTGAAAATGTTCGTAGTATAATTTTCTAGTGTAATGTAACAGCTCGGCGGAGCTTCGCTCGGCTTCAAACTGCTTTTGCCGATGAAGCACCATGCAAAACGACAATTTATAGCGGTTTGCAGAATTGTGAGTGACGAATTTCGTAATGGTCGCTCGTCCACTGCTATGAACAACAAAAAGATGGATGCTGTGCGCCGTATGATCAAAACGGACAGGCATGTGACATACCATGAGATTCGGGCATCTTTAGGCATAGGTATGAGTCAAATACAATCAATACTACATAAACATTTGGGTGTGAAAAGTTGTGCTCTCGGTGGATCCCACACAATTTGACTGTGGCTCAAAAAACGGATTGCGTCACTTGGTGCAATGCCATGCTTACCAGATTCAACGAAGGGGCGTCAAATTTGATGTGTGACATAGTAACAGGTGACGAAACATGGATTTATAGTTACGATCCCAAAACAAAGCAGCAATCGAGCGTATGGGTCTTTCGAGATGAGCCGAAACCAACCAAAGTGGCGCGCGTGCAAAGTGCATTCATCCGATTGCTTCTTTTTTTTTAATAAAACTGGACACGTGGTTACTGTTGCTTTGGAGAATCGTTGTACCGTGAATAATGATTGGTACACGACCATTTGTTTGCCGGAAGTTATTGAGAAACTCCGTAAAAATAACCGTAAACGCCGCATCATCTTACACCACGATAATGCCCGTTCTCACACGGCCAGACAGACAAATGCATTTTTGAAGGTGAATAACGTTGACCTTATGTCCCATTCCGCGTACAGTCCCGACCTGGCACCTTGTAACTTTTTTATTTCCAAAAATTAAGAACCGCGGTTACGCGGTCAACGATTTTCATCACCTGAAAAGGCTGTCGAAGAGTATGAAAAATATGTTTCAGAGATTGTCACGGAGGAATGGCATAAATGTTTTCAAAATTGGTTCATTCGTATGAAAAAGTGCATTAACGCAAACGGATAATATTTTGAGAAACAGTAAATTCATTTCTGACCATTTATAGTATTTTTTCTTATTCATTCCGGAAACTTATAGTGCGCCACACGTATCAATATAATGAGACGCCATAACTTCGTGAACTAGTAGACAAGGGTTCTCGAATTTTCAATTTGTATTGCCGATAAATATTACGTAGGGAATATACCTAATTATGAACTATGTAATGATGATAAACTTGGACACACAATTTCAAATACCTTGGTTACCTTATTTACAAGCACTTGTCCAAAAGGTAACATTTTAAGTGCTTTTAATGTAGTTTTGAAATAAATCTTCAATATTACTCTAGTTAGTGAATTAATGAAAAGTATAATATTATATCGATATAAATACCTAATAGACATGTGTAATTGTTAGGATTCTATTAATAGAATCCTAAACAACAGGTTCGCGTTAGAATTTTCGCTATGTTGCCGCTCTGGCCACATAACGTAATTGTGCGAGAAAGTAATGGGTAACCCTGCCACTTCACGCAGACATTTACTCGTGTGCAGATCGCGCCTTGCTGTATATAGTAGTAGTAGGCAAATTTTCGACTGTTGTATGGAGTGTCCGTGGTGTGGTTGCAGTACAAGTTAGAACTATAATTAGAAGTTAGTAGTTAGTTAGAATTTAGTAGGTAGTTAGAAGTTAGTAGGTAGTTAGAACTTAGTCGTATAAATGTGAGGGGCATTGCCTTTGCGCCAGTCACCCTGAGAAATAAGTTGACATGTTTTGTGCGCTTGTAATCTCTCCAGCACCCTTATCCTTCAAAACCGAAACGCAGTAATGGTCATATTAGGGCTTGGGGGCAAAAAATAAGTAGGGTGGCAGTACTTTCCTGTACAAACTCTTTCACAAGGAGCTCTACTGCTGCTAAAACCATCATGCTTGTATAAGCGCGCAATGTTGTAAAGCTTAGGACACATTTTTGGGAAGGGGCGCACAATCGACCCGCCCCTTTTTGTAGTAATTAGCCTGCGCATGTGCGCAAATGCGCTTCTTACGGGCGCTCATCTTTAATGTTATTATTAATTTTACAACATATTTGCTCGTAAAGTGTTTCATTACGCACTTGTGCGTTATTGTAATGTAAAACGCACAAGTGCGTTATTGTAATGTAAAACGCACGAGTTTTTAAAAAAAATAAAGTAACATGCACGGTTTTTTAAGATGCTCCGTCTAAAAATGAACGATACTTTTTTAAATCTTTGCAAAGAGTTTTTATGTTAGAAAAGTGGTCAATATTTTATGAATAAAATTAACTTTGGGAGATAAAATATAGTAAATAAACATTTAATTCTTTCATTTAATTAATTTTGACAATAAATTACAACCATTTATCTGTAACAAAAACACAAAAATATTAATTTACTTTATCAGTAATACTGGCTATTTTTATACCTTTGCCTAAAAAAAATGTTGATGTGCGCGCATGGCTAATTTGTGGACAAGTAAAAATTATTTCGCGCGCTTTTTCTTTTCACTGTATTGTTTTTATTTGAAAATGTCGTCAAGTAGTGATGAATTTATTAATTTGACACCGCCACAAGTCTTAAACGCAGCGAAAAAGGCTACTCTAAGCCTCTTACCTGAAAAATCGATAGATATTTACAAGCGTATCAAAATTTCATCATATGGAAAACAAGCAAAGATGCAAATTCATTTTCAGAAAATGTGTTTTTAGCCTATTTCATGGAACTGTCTCAAAAATATAAGTCAAGCTCATTGTGGTGCTACTATTCAATGCTAAAAAGCACTATGAAAACAAACCATGGTATTGATATCAAGTCATACTCCAACTTGATAGCATTTCTAAAAAGACGCTCGAATGGCCATGTAAGTAAAAAGTCGAAAGTATTTTCGGCTGACAATATCAAGAAGTTCCTTAAAGAAGCTCCGGATTGGCGATATTTGGCAACAAAGGTCGGTTGAAACTAAATTATTATTATTAATTTCTTTCACTTTCGTATTTCTTTACAATATAGGTGTTTATACGTTCTTTTTATCTCTTTTCAGGTTGTATTAATATTCGGTATAAATGGTGCATGTAGACGTCAAGAGTTGGCAAACATAACAACTAATGATGTCGAGAACCATGGGCGGGTTCTTCTTGTCCAGGTCAAAAACACAAAAAATAAAATTCCAAGGTCGTTCACAATACAGGGGCCTTTTTACGACGTAGTGAAGAAATACGAAGCGCTTCGTTCAACAAAAGCTAATTCCAACAGATTTTTTCAAAATTACCAAAATGGAAAATGCACTAACCAACCCATTGGCATTAATAAATTGGGAGCAATGCCGAAAGAAATTGCCACTTTCTTAAATTTGCCTCAAGCACATGAATACACAGGGCACAGTTTCAGAAGGTCCTCGGCTACATTGCTCGCCGATTCAGGTGCGGACTTATTGACACTAAAACGCCACGGAGGACGGCGGTCAAGCAATGTAGCCGAAGGATACATAGAAGACTCGATAAGAAATAAAGAAGAAATTAGCTCTCGCATTACAAGGAACATAAATTTGGAGTCAAGTGTTGATGTCGCGAATTATGTCGCGATTTAGTATAAGTTTTGTGATATCAAGCATTAATAAATTTAATCTGTTATGATACCTAAGAGTAGGGAACTAACACGGCAGTACAGGCATCTTAAATGAAGGTGAGATATTAGGCATCTGCTGGAAGTGCACTGGTTGGTCGGCACTACAGTTGGTAAGTTTGCACAATGTTTATTACTAACGTAGATACAGTATTTGTTGACTAGACAGCCAGAAAATAGAGTATGACGAATCAGTAACAGAATTAGAATGAGATCGCCACTTGTACTGAAGGTACAAGGGGGCATGAAGCGGTGGCAGAGGAAGGGCTGTAGGGGTGTGTGTGGAG